CTTCCTTCCTTCCTCGGAAATCTTATGCATTTCTTGAACACGCGTGTCACCTCCCTCCCTCCCTCAAAAGCACCCGAGAGTAATTAAAAGGCAGTATTTAAGTTAGTGACTATTACAGGGTCAGTGACCACTCCTCTCCATCACAATGGGAACCCTGATTCAGAAGCCAATGGTTATACAGGAGGGCAGAACCAGGGAAATATAAGAAGAATGGATGACAGGGAAAGATCAGTTTAGAAGTTAAAGAGTTAGGGATATGAGTTAAGAGTCAGGGACTTCAGTTAAGGATATCATTTTGAGAGAAGCAATTTAGGCTGTTAGGACCAGTATTGTGTTAGAGAAGAATAGAGAGATAGAGAACAAGACATGAATAAATACCTTGATTAACACGAGTCTACATAAGCAAATATAAATATTATCAAAGCACAGTTGATTGAATGAATAAAATAAGACCATCCATGATTTGCTTTATTTGATTTACTTATAAACACTTAAATAAACATTGTTTTTTTGAATAACACTGATCTATTAGTCCTATGTGATATAGTGAGGAACATATCCTCTGGTGGCAGCGAAAAAGAGTGAACCGGGGTTGTGTGGAAGAACAAACAGGGGAACTGGGGGCGTGTGACAGTGAGAATGGGTCAGGCCTCAGTAAAAGGATCCGTGAATACCATGCTAAAAAAGAAACATAAACAACCCCCCAAATGCATTCAAGGGCAGTGAGGCACAAACATGCATTTTAAAAGACCCTTCGGGGAGCCAGTCCTCAAGGGAAAAGCTTGCCTGAAGAGAAAGGTCTTGGCTGGCTGACAGAAGGAGAGCCAAGATGGGGCCAGGCTGGCCTCCAGTTGGAGGGAGTTCCACAGTCTGGGAGCAGCCACTGAGAAGGCCCTCTCCCGTGTCCCAAATGCACAGGATTGCTTAGGACTGTCACCTTCTGAATTCCTGGCTTGCTCCCTCAATTGGCCCTTTTAAAATCTTATTTCTTGGGACAACTTGCTAAGTTTTCACGGCCTTTGGCAAAATGTAACCATATCCGGAAATGCAACCAAGGCAGGGCAAGAGAGCCGGAGAGGCTGACGTAGAAGCGTCTCAACCCGCTGACTTAACTGCCTCCCAGGGTTTCCTGTAAGCAAGGACTGGCCCTCTCGGTCTCTCTCCCTGCAAGAACACGTTGGCCGGGGCAATCACCTCGGTGCTCGGTTTGAGACTCAGAAGTGGGACTGCTGCGGGTTTTGGTCCGATTTCCAAAGAGTTCTGCACAGAGCAAATCCTTCCCAAGACTGCTGGGAAGGGATTTTGTTAGATGCAGGAAGAGCAAGACAGGGAGTTGTCCGAGAGAAAGGAGTGTCAGCGAGCAAAATAAGAGGCGAGACCTGCTTTGTCCATCACAGCTACAACACCTCCTAAACTGTATAAATTAAGATGATGGTCTCCCACCGTTAATTTCAGGACCTTCTCCCCACATATTGGTTGCATGGGTGAACTTTAGCTCAAGCCCTCCTAGGCACCTCATCCTAATTCGCACACAGCCCCAGATCCTCTAGACTAGGGCCAGAGGGAAAGGCACTCCCCCATTGGCTTGCACATCACAGCCCTCATTTTGAAGCGGTGACCCACTGACTCGGTTTCTGGCTGTCCTGATTTGATGGCGAGTCACAATGAGATTTCGCCCCAGGTTGTGAATGTTTCCCCAGCTGACCGACGGAGGGTCATTTAAAGAACCTGGGTTAACCTCGCCTTGCTGATAAACGGTCCCCGGCACGCAACGTGGTTTCGGAAAGCTGGCCCACCCATGTGGAAAAGGAAGCCCATTCGCCCTGACACGCAGGCCTGTGAGAAGATTGTCCTCTGTGTAACTCATTATGACACACATTCGATTTCAGTGACGGTACTAGTGTATTAATGTCTAGCCAAGGTTTTGTGGAAAACCTGGAAGCCCGATGCACAGAAAAGCAAAATGGGCCACCCTGAACAGGGTCTGTGCATTTATTCTGCAGTCACCAAAGGAAGTAATTAACAATGTCATGTTAATTTCTGCTACGCACCAAGGACATCCGTGGCCTTAGGGAGAAAAGTGATAGAGCTCAACTGACTTGAGCTGACAGTCAAACGGCTAAGAAACATCACATTCTAAGCCTGAGCTGACAAACGGCTAAGAAACATCACATTCTAAGCTACATTCTGAGTAATGCTAACTGGAAATAATCCACTTTTTTGTATCTTTGATCGTCGCCTTTTTCTATAAAATCCTACCTGTACATTTATCAGCTCAGATTCCATTCTTACACTCTTGACTAGTGCCCTAAATAGGCTTTTAGATACCCGCTTGCCTCCATCAAACGCACCCTTTCTACTGGAGACCTCACCACTGGTGATCTTTCGCTGGTCCTTCTAAAGCAGTGGTTTCTTGGGTCTCCCCAGATGTTCTTGGACATCTGGGAAGACCCAGAAGCCTTCACCAACAGCTGTGGTGGCCCAGATTTCTGGGAGTTGCAGTCCACCCTAAATAGGCTTTTAGATACCCGCTTGCCTCCATCAAACGCACCCTTTCTACTGGAGACCTCACCACTGGTGATCTTTCGCTGGTCCTTCTAAAGCAGTGGTTTCTTGGGTCTCCCCAGATGTTCTTGGACATCTGGGAAGACCCAGAAGCCTTCACCAACAGCTGTGGTGGCCCAGATTTCTGGGAGTTGCAGTCCAAGAACATCTGAGACATCTGGGAAGACCCAGAAGCCTTCACAACCAGCTGTGGTGGCCCAGATTTCTACGAGTTGCAGTCCAAGAACACCTGGGGACCCCAAGGTTGGGAACCACCCAAGTCTCTTAGTTGTTCACCAACTTTGGAGCATACAAGAGAAAAGGACAAAATAAATCAGTATCTCCTGTACAGCTGAAGTCCCCTTTTAATTTGTACTTGGCCTTAATCTCAGCTGTCAGCACGTCGGATAGCTTCCCGATGCCGGCGCTTCTGGGGATTTTATAGAAGCTTGTTGATACAGCAAGATGGAATTGCAGGTGGCCTGTGGTTCTACCAGCTACATCTGCCAACCCTGTGGGATTTAATTTTCAGCTCAGGAAATACAGAACGGAAGGTGGCGGGATGCAACGTTATGGATACTCCCTGCCAAAGAACCAGCTCCATAGTGTGGATTCTGGTGGATCCCATCTTGTGGGCCACTGAAATTCCTCATCGTGCATGTTCTGGGCAAGAATACTCCCTGCCAAAGAACCAGCTTCATAGTGTGGGTTCTGGTGGACCCCATCTTGTGGGCCACTGAAATTCCTCATTACTGGGCATAATATGCTGTGTGCATCTCCTGTTGGAAGCCATAGACAAGTGGTTCCCAATTTTGGGTCCTCCCAGATGTTCTTGGACTAAAATCCCCAGAAGCCTTCACCATGAGCTGTGCTGGCCAGGATTCCTGGGAGTTGTAGTCCAAGAACATCTAGAGACTCAAAGTTGGGAACCATAACTGCTGTCATTCCTGTGTTTGGAACATCCAGGCGGAAGGATAGTTTTCCTACTCCTCAAACTGGCTTCTCATATTTTAAAAAGGAGAATTCCAGATGCTCATGTACCTTGAAATGTTTACACACACGCTAAGAAGAGGGCTTTAGGCGATTATTTCTACTCGTGCCAGGTACTCATTCTCCACTGAAGACTGTTTAGACAAAAGTTGTCTCCGGAATGATTCGTGAAGACGTCTTGTCGAATTCCAGGAGGGAAGCCACCACCTCGCTTTCGCACGAGCCTAAGGAGATTATGTGAAGGAATGTGGCTCTCGTCAAATCCTTTTGGTGTTGTTTCAAGCACAGGAGGCCCTGGAGTCACTTCACCCTGAGGTTCAAGAGCCGAAGGCACCCCTTTTTGACAATCTACTTGGAGCTTACTAGAAGAAAATTTTGGAATTTGCAATCAGCAGCGCACATGTTTTGAGAATCCATGTGGAGTTTACTAGATCATTTTGGAATTTGCAATCAGCAGCGCACATGGGATTTGGAACTGTAGATTCAATCCAGAGTCCCTCCCAGCTGTGCAGTTTTGTGATTTTGCTGTTCCTCATACAATGTCTGGCTTTCCTTCCTTCAAGCTCTACACTTCCGGGAATAAGATGGCCAACTTGCAGTCTTCCTGCAGGAATATTCTCCATCAATTCAGGGTAGGAACTTCCTTTACTCTCCTGGCAAAGAATCACCCCGACTGTCTTTACGTGGCACCCCTTAATAGTGACGGATTCTCTAGGTCTTATTCAACCATGAAACACACTGACAAGCTGGTTTCCAAAGTATTAATACAGTGATTCTCAGAACTCCTGCGGCCCAGACAAGTAACACTGTGGATTTCCCTGAGTCACGGCTACGTATAATCCCTCAGCAAAACTGTCACGGTTCTCCCAGAGAGAATGTCTGTTCCCCACGGATGGTGGAAAGAGAGAACAGGATCACACAAGTTTCAGAAAGTGCTGGCTCAAACGGATACGACTTCCCAGTCACGTGGACACCATCAAGCTGCCATTTTGATTCCCCCCCATGGCTTGAGGAGGGACACTGTATGGAAAATCAAGAGTTTGGAAGATTTAAACAGCTGGCTGGCGGTTCACAAAGCGGCTTTCCTATGGCCGATCTTCGCTAGACAATGATGATTCTTCCCCATTGGAACACATTAAACAGGTTTCAATGCATTCCAATGGGAAAATGCTTTTCGCTAGACAATGATTTCGCTAAACAGCGATTTCAGTGGAATGGATTATCATCGTGTAGCGAGGCACTACTGTATTGCCCTATTTTGGAAGCTAAGCACGGTCAGATTCGGTTAGGAGTCGGGTTAGAGAGCAGGAGATATAGGGCTAGGAAAGGAAATCTCCCAAGGCAAACCAGAAACAAAAAATGGCAAACCCCTTCTGAGTGCTCTCTATCTAGAACACCTTGAAAAGGATTGTTGGAATTCAGAACTGACTCGACGGTAGTCCTTTGGCAGTAATAGGGCAGTATATAGTTTAATTACATACTACTTATTATTAGTAGTATATTATTATTATGAACATGGTTTCTTAAGTGAGTCTTAGCGATTCTTTTGATGGACCAGTTATAGCCACTTCCAGCACTGATTTGTTTGATGGACTGATTTCACCAGTTATAGCCACTTCCAGCACTGATTTCCGTAGCGGAGAGGCAGGATAAAAATGTAATGACACAAACATTCTCCAACTTGCAGAGAGGGTGAACCGCAATCTGGAGATGAACACTTATTCCCATCCCCACCTTTCCTCTCCCTCGCCATTCAATCCAACACATCTAGCACCTGGGGAGCTGTATTTAGGGTAATCTTTCTTGAGGCTGGGTTGGAGAGAAGGGTTTTTTTTTCCTGCTGGAACATGGTGTTCTTTCATTCAAACACATATAATCCTTTTATTTTGAGTACAATTGATTCCCAGACGCACAAACATCTGACGATCCTCTATGCTCACAACTACACTGGGTTTTTAAAAGTTTGTTCTAGCGAGGACAGCAGAGGTCCCACTCTGGCTTTGTCCTCCGCAGGTCTAGCATGCAGCTGCTGATGCAGACGCCAAGAGGAAAGCAAGGCCCATGAAAGCATCTGGCAATGATGTGGCTTCTCGCACCTTGGGTTTTAAAGCTTTCCCTCGGAAGGCCTAACGTTAGTAGAGGTGGTGCCAGTAACTGGCCTAGTCTCATCGCTGCCAAAACTGGGCTTCCAACGACTGCTCTCCAAGCAGAATGGAGCTGAGGAAATCAGCAAGGAAGGCTTGTTCTGGACTGACCATCTTGGTAGAGTTGCACAGCACCGTGAAACCTTGAAGCAGCCCTGATTTTTTTTTTAAAGCTATGGGAAGCAATGCACTGAAAAAAATTCCAGCTTTTTAAAAGCATGACTGTTCCCCAAGTGTTCCACTCTATACATTATTTTATTTATCCTGCACACAACTCTGCGGATGCTGCGATTGCAAGGCAGGGTGGAAGACTCTTAAGCGCTATAGCGCAACACCGCTGGAGGATATCAGCTTGGGAAAGGCCAAGCAGGCGCTTAACCTAGGGTTAGAGGCAAGGGCCGTATCCACGTCTCCCGTTCCTGGCAGCCGAGAGGACAAAGGCAACGGGTTTAAATACAAAATCAAATACTTTAATGAAAATCAGGGAAAAACAGGGAGGTCAGTTCAGGGATACCTCTAAAACGGATATTCCTGCACTGTAATACATTTCTCTCTTAATATAAACACTTTCTCTTAAGCAAGCAAGGAGCGGACAAACTATCAGTTCTTCAGCATTTCTTTAAAGATCCTGAGTAAAGAGTTTATCTAAACCACATAAAACATATTATATGAAAACATCCCAAGTCCTGAGCTAGTGGCCAGCACCAGGCGGTTCACCAGTTTAAAAAATAGACCACTTCCAACACATGGAATCTAAATAACTTTTCACATTTCCACAGAGTTATTTATAGGGGAGGGAAAGGCCAGGGGAAGGAGAGATTATTCCTCAATGAAAGACTTCCCAAAGTTGTCGAAACTCAGAATGTTCGTGTAAGTCCCCTAAATTTAAACAAATGCATTTGCACTTCCTTAAAGGGGCTTAAGGCCTTTCTTTGACCAAACTGTTCTAACACCATATATATATATGTACACATACACACACACACACACAGAACGGATGCCTACAATAGGCATGGATCCTAAAAATTAAACCAAAAAAATCACCTTGTATTATACAATGCAAGCACATCCATTGCAGTAAGAAAAACAAGGACCGCGGTTAGCACCTCCAAATGCAATAGGGTTTGAGTTTCCAAAGACGCGTTAGAAAATAAAAAGGGGTGTGTGGGGCTGAACACTCTCAACAGCCCTGCACAGAATCCGGCTGCTGATCTGGCCACAGTCCTGCTCAAAACCAGAAGGGAGCATCACCAGTCTTACTGACAGCAGATCCAGGCAGAGAGAGAGGCTCTCCCGCCCAACGAGAGAACCCGAATCCATCAGAAGCACGGACAGAAGAGATCCAGATCCTTCCTTCTCAGTGTTCGTCGGCAGAATTTGCACCCAACAGGCACGTTGTGTACAGACATGTCAAAAGTAATAAAAATAAGATGTCTCTTGAGCTCTCAGAATCCAGCCTAGGTAGAAACAGGCACCGCGTTGAACCCTGGACCCTTTTGGAGGGGGGGGTCTCTTTGGCTGTTCTCTCGGCTCCCGCTTCACCTTCTGTGCCGGCTGTGGCCAGGATGGTCCCTCTCGTAGCGATGGCTGGGCCTCTCGTAAGGATGCGGCCGCTCGGGCCTCTGCTCCCGGTAGTAATGGCTCTTCTTCTTGTACTTCCCCGAGTGGGCCGAGGACCTCTCCCGCGAGCGGCTCCGGGACCGGGAGGAGCTCCGGCTGCGGGACTTCCGGGGCTTGGGGGAGGCGTACTTGTAGCTCCGGGCCTTCTTGTAACTCCTCAGCTTGGAGCTCTTGTAACTGGAGCTGCTGTGGTTGAACTGCCGCGGGGGAGAGTCGCTCCGACTCCGGGAGCGGCTGTGGGATTTGGAACCGCTCGAGGGGGAGTAGCTCTCGCTCTTCCTGGGGGGGGAGAGAGAAAGAGAAGAGAGAGAATGAGATCAAGGGGACGGGCCCTCCAACACAAACAACATCGTGTACGGCAACACCACCGACAGGATCGCCACTGTGAGGAAGGGTGGCTCAGCTATTTTAGGGAAAGGGCAATCTGAACCGTGGCAAAGACCAGATTCTGAACCGGAAAGGCTCTGGGTGCAAACACGTGAACACCTTTGGTGGTGGAGTTCGGGTTCCCAACTGCGGGGAAAGTCTTTCATGCGCCAGAGAGACTTTCCTCTTGAGATTCTCATTCTCTCTGGGCAATGACAAAGGAGCAGGGCTAAAACTATCCTTCATCGTACTGTTCCAAGTAACCCTTTCCCCGCTTACATACTTATCAGTTCAGTACATACCTCCGCTTTGGGGATGGCGATCGCGAGGGTGACCGAGAGTAACTCTGGTCTCTGCTTCCACTCCTGCTCTCTCGGCTTTTCTGAAGGCTGCCAAGTTTAATAAAGGGTAATTAGGTGTCAAAACGGAAAACCTAGCTTCAATGCCTGCCACCTTCTCCACCCGACGATTTATGTGCATATATGTCAGAAGACAAGCAAGTGATAATCTTTCTTTCTTTCTTTTTCTTTCTTTCTTCCTTCCTTTAGAGTGATCTTGGTTTCATATGCATTTCAGCCTAGGTCACAAGCAGGCTTGTGAGATTTGACAGAGAGATCATTGTGGTCATCGCTGCAAATCCTGACTTCCTGAGATGTTTCCATCTTATTTTAAAAGCTGGACGTCTCTAGCTTACACGACACAGAGACACCTCACCTCTGCAGACGCTCGGACATCCTCAAGTGCCTTTGTACAGGCATCAAAAACACTGCAGCTAACTAGCTTCACTTTCTGGGCTTTTATTACAAAACTGACCTGAAATCATCACAACTGCAATCTGTTTTCCACATATAGAGCACACCGCTCAGGGACCCAAGCTCTGAGGCCCGAGTCCCCCAATTTTGCTCTCATTCCTGTATTCATTTTGTCTCCTGAAGGTGTAACGTCCTTTTCGTTAGAGCGCTATTTCCACCAGACAGGAACGCAAAGAACATAAGCAAGGCCTCGGCTTAACGCTTGTGTACAGTGGTGGCTGTACATCTACAGCGCTGTACAAAGTATCCACTCCCCTAAAACTACAAGAACCAGGACTTTACTGTGTGACAGCCTTACCCATTGACAGGACTGTTAGATTTCACCCTCTTCGCCCCTTCCGGCTTCTTCTTGGCATTCTTAACCACCTGGGCAGCAAGCGGGGAAGGCTTGGCCCCTTTATTTTCTTTTGGAGACTCTAAATAAGAATTTAAAAAGAGAGAGAAGAATCCAGTTAGGAAGGCTTGTAATTCTGACACAAGCCAAGGACACAGCCCTTCGTGACACCCTCATGCCACGTGCACTAAACTCTGGCAAACTTGCAGACAAGGATCTGGCTCAATTTACTCATGATCCAAGGTCTGTTTCTGAGGTACTGAGAAGCCAGCAAATAATGACTGGACTGGGCTTTGGGAGTCCTGCAACTTACTCAGCCACCTAGAGTGGTCGTATACACCAGATGGACGGGATACAAATAAAATCAAATAAATAAATACCCAAGTCTGCCATGTTCTTCCACAAGACTGGGAATACGAACCAGTTTTGGGGACAGGAGAAAACCCTGACACGGCATCCAAATTGGGCGTGCTGTCGGGGAGAAGGCCCTTGGCCTGTGCCTTCGCCTCTTCAATGGCCAGCTTCTTCTTCTCTACTTGGCTCTCAAGAACAGCTAAATCCACCTAAGAAGGCAAGGAAATGAGAAGTGTTCTAGTACTGTACCAACCGAGACACAGCTTACAGAACTAAAAATATTTAAAACCTAAAAAACAAAAGCATACAATTATTAAAGAATGAAGCAAATTGTGTATTTTAAAAATGGGTAAATAAAATCAACACTAAACACGCATTTAAAAGCAACAGAGCGTCGCAACCCGTTTAGAAACACCCCGCTCGCAGACCACCAACCCTTCAGGAAAAAACAGCCTAGAAAGAAAGATGCTTTGCTTGCTTACGAAAGGACAGCAAAGCCTGGCTTCCCGTGGGAGGGAGTTCCAAAGTCTGGGAACAGTGACAGAAGGCCCTGTCCCATGACCCCAACCGAGCACCCCTGGTGAGGGTGAGTGGGTCCAAAATGAAGGCCTCCCCTAATTCTTTTAACGCCCAGACAGCTCATAAAGAGAAATGTGGTCTTTTTAGATAGCTTGGCACAAGGGGGAAAGGAAAATGAGATTTCTGGCAGAGGGTAAGAAAGCGAGATTACTTTGGCTAGGGGCGGGATGGATAAAATCACCGATTTAAAACAAAATCAATTTAAATTTTAACGATTGCTGGGGGCAATGTGAACGTCTTGGGATGTCGTTTCGGTAAGTCTGCAGGAAGCAGCGGTGGGCCGAGAGGATGGGACAGAATGGAAGCACAAACCTTTTTCCGCGTATACAGCTGCAAAATTTTCAAGCAGATCTCCTGAATTTCCTCCTCTGTCGCTCCAAAAAGGAGAAACCAGTGGGGACGGTTTGGAAGAGGAATCTGAGAAGAAGAAAGAAGACGCCACTGACCACGGGCAGTTTGGTGCCGACTCCTCCCAAGCTAGTCTAAGGGCTGCTTTCCACCTGAAGACATCTACTCGGGGGTAAGCCTCGGATTGTTTACAGCATTCAACCTTACTGACATACTCAGCCTCAATCCACTGAATACAGCGTTCATAATATAGAGCCAATGGCCTCCTAAAGACCTGCAAACCCAACTCATAAAAAAGGGAAAAGGCACCCAGAGGAACATGGTCTCTGCATTTTCTTTGCTGTAATTAACACTGCTATATTTCTTTCTCATCTCAAATGGCGACGAAATGTATCATTCCAAATTGCTTATCTGAATCGTATCTGTACTTTTGTTACAGGTCTGTCTGTTTCTGTAAAAAGCCAACCTGTAAGTTATTATTTTGGGTTTCATACTTATGTGTGGGTATGCTTTCTCTTTTAACACCCTAAACAGCCCTTCCTATACTGCCTGCCCCCAATGTTATTTTCCTAAGGTAAAGCATCTCAACAGCACTCTCAAAAATAACAGTTGGACCCTAAATTATAACTTTTCTTTTTGGGTAGATACTCAGCCCTTAATTTCACTTCTACTGGGTTTTTTAAATATGAAAAACAGCCCCGTTGGAAATATATATATATCCGTTCATTCCAACACGGCTATTTTGACCCTGGTTTTGACTGATCTGCTTTTGTTGACAAACTTTTGATCAAGTGGATTCTTCCTGTTTTGTGTACTTGCAAACCACGAGCAGCATACTAACAGGTTGAATAAATAAACGAGAGCAGCGCTCTCTTTGAACTCCTACAGACAGCCACCATGCTCCCCCCCCCGGGAAATTGGGAGCTATACCCACCTCCAGAGTCCTAGCAGCAAGGTAAATGCAGGCGCAAGCAATGGTCTCAGGATGGAACCGTACAAAGGCATCTGTCCGCAGGCTGTCATTCATGTAATTCCTGAGGAGAGAAAAGGAAGGAACGTTTCAGATGGGTGCCTTTTCCCCCTCCAGAGACACAGCTTTTTCTGGCTCCTGTAGCTAGCTTTCTAACCATTCTACAGCTAGGTTTGAAGGCTAGATAACTCTGTGAAATCTGACCAAATGTTCCACTGGACTGGCAACTTCCTCTCAAGGAAGAAGGTCTGTCCGGAATTGATCAACTGGCGTTTTATGAAAGAGAACCAATTTTAACTTCACTTGTTCTGCCCCTGCTACCTACTAATGGCCTGTTCCCACGCCAAGCACAACCTTTCTCTTTTATAAAAACAAAGTGTCTTGCGGAGCCACGATCTGCGATGCAGGCTGAAGAACTCCCGTCAAACTCGAGGATTAATCCTGCTGAAGTGGCTGAAAATGCCCCCCACAAAAGGAGCGAAGTCCAACGTTCCAGGTCAAGCGCTTCTTGCTCAGCAAACAGGAGACTCTTTTACAGTGTTTATTTTTTTTCTCTCTTGCTGGCGTCTTCGGGAGGAAAGAGGCTTGGATCCGCCCAGCATCCAAAACACCGATCCCTCTGCTGGAGAGCAGAATGCAGCCTCAAGGGGTCTGGCTCCAGCGCTGGACATGGTGGTCACAGGTGGGACCCAGAGTTCAACCAGTTCTGTCCCCCGGGGGTCGTCAGTGGGCCAACTTCACACGGCCCCCAGTGCAACAAGGTTGCTCAAAACAAATGTTCACAGAAAGAAGGAACTGCAAAAATATGGCACAGGCCCACAGTCAGTACATTCTGGACATTTCCGACATGAAAGGAAATACAAACACACAGCATTCCAATTCATTTTGCTCTTGCAATGGCTCGGATTTAACACTCGCCTCTTTTGCCATATTATGGGGGCCGGAGAACTTGGCACTGCATATGAAAAACTCCACAGAGGGCTCAAATTTTTCACACAACTGATGCTTGCGGCATATCGTGAAACCCATTCTGGATTGCCAAGGACTGCTTCTGGGTCAAGCTGTGTAGACTCTACTCAATAGAGGCCCACGGATGCCTTTAAAATAGAGGCAGCCAAAAATATATCTATTTCTGAGGGCCATAAACTGGATTCTTTAAATTTAAAAAAAAGGGGGGGGGGAGAAACTCTACTCTGTAGAGGCCCACAGATGCCTTAAAATAGAGGCGGCCAAAAATATATCTATTTCTGATGGCCATAAACTGGATTCTTTAAATTAAAAAAGAAAAGGGGGGGGGAACAGTAGGACTTCTTATTTCCTGTTTTTGCTTCCATTATACATGTAATAGGAGGAAGACAGGAACAGAGGTCCTCTTGCTTCCAAAAGGCCAGCTTTGTAGAGGCCCACAGATGCCTTAAAATAGAGGCGGCCAAAAATATATCTATTTCTGATGGCCATAAACTGGATTCTTTAAATTAAAAAAGAAAAGGGGGGGGGAACAGTAGGACTTCTTATTTCCTGTTTTTGCTTCCATTATACATGTAATAGGAGGAAGACAGGAACAGAGGTCCTCTTGCTTCCAAAAGGCCAGCTTCACTGGGTCCATAAAGATTCCTCAAAACAGGACTGCCAACTTTTAAGAGTTAATCAATGCTGCAGAAAACGTACAAGGCAGCTCAAAACTGCTCTGAACATGGAAGAAAGCAACATGAATCTATTTGTACCTTCCTTTTTTTTGGATGAAGCAAGAAAAGTACTTTCCCTTCTTGCAAGACAGATCACTGGCCACTGGCCCAATTAAACAAACAACCCAACTTCTGGAAGCAGGGGCAAGAGCAATGGGTCCCTACTTTGGGACCTCAGATGTTCCTGAACTGAAACTCCCAGAAATCCTGGCCAGCAGAGCTCATGGTGAAGGCTTCTGGGAGTTGCAGTCCATGAACATCTGGGGACCCAAGGTTGGGAACTGCTAGGCTAGAGGAATCCTAGGAATTGCTTTCTCCTCACTGAGCAGGAAGGCATGAAAATATAAGCACAACTGAATTTCTAAACATCTCCAAGTTACAGAGATGTTTGTGATGACACCTAATGGTAGCTACTGATCAAAGCCTCATTAGGGGATGACAATTACAAGGGCAATCCAACTTTTAAACACAACAGAAGACATTTGTGGTGCTATGTGGGAATGGGGCGAGTGGAACTGTAAGGAAAGCCAGCACCTCTTTTTATTGCCGAGCTTGAGTTTCATATTTAAAAATCGGACAGTTATCAACATTTTGCAAAATGCGACAGACCAGCGTTTAAGGAAATCCCACCCACCCCCCTCCCCGCTCAATCCGGCCGTATTTTAAAATCCAAATTCAAGGAAGGTCTTGCATTGAAAAGAGACATAAAATGCGGCTTTACAGCATCTTTGACAACAACACAGTAATGCTTTTAATCTGTAAAGCATGAAATTAAAATTTCAGAAAGTTTAAAAATAAAAGGAACAAGGAAAATAACAATAATAATAAAAAAAGAAATGACAAGCAGAAGTTGGCCAGTTGTAACTCTACTAGTGTAGGTTATACCACCTGTCTAGAGTCAGCCTTCTCTCTGCGGAGCCTGCTGGGGTTTGACTGAAGACGGCAGTTTTCCCTGCACCATAGCGCTTGGGCAGCAGAGGAGAAGTCTTAGTCACTTACCCTCAGCGGCTACCCTTCGATCAAAAGAGTACAGAAAAGAAAAGTCAAAAGAGGTTCTCCTTCAGAAAACAGCACCAGACAGATCACAAAAGGGCTCCTTGAGCCAAGGGTCAGTTTCACAGATTATCACCCAAGGTTATAACTTGGTACGACTGAATTTAAGTATTCCCTCCAGAAAACAACACGACGGGCAAAATTTGCGCCGATGACTGTTTGAAAAGGCGTTTTCCCAACTGACTTTCCAAAGACTGACCCCCACGCTAGCTATTTTGCTAGAAATATACCACTCCCCCATTGCCACAACCCAATGTATGCATGCGGCTACTACTACTAACCACAGCCAAAGGGGAGTTACTATTTATTTTTTTGATTTTTACCCCGCCCCTCTAGACAACGTCTACTCGGGGCGGCTTAACTAGACTTTGGGGCAGTGCATATTTAGAAATTCACATAAGGAAGAGCTGCAACCGTCCTGCTTGTTTGATCCAGAAAGACCGCTATGTTACTGGATTTTTTTCTTCTTCTCACATGTACACATAAAGCTTTCATTTAATTGAGGGGGGGAGGATAGGGGAAGAAAGGGCAAAGGATGCATTTGTGGGAAGTTTCCAGCTTTCTTACCAGTTAGGACAGTGTCTGAATCTTTAACAAAGATGCTTCTGTCCACTTCGAAGGACAGAATGGCATTTCCAGGTTTAAGACTAGAATGCCACAGATAAGGCAGCCCAGCCAAGGCAGGCGGCCCCCAGAATATGACATTTGCCTGCCAGTGCCCCCGCTGGCTTCAAGAAAAACAAGAAACAGCAACTTACCATGAGGTCTGGACCAGGTGTTGGTTACGTTCACATTCTAATACCTGAAGGTACATAACGATTATCTGGAAGATACGGGTGGCCAAGTTATACAGGTGATCAACACGAGGAGAGATTTTACTTTTAGAAAGGAGGCTGGCCCATACAATCCACAGCGTTCCCAATCTCTGGGTCAAAACCCTGGGAGGGAGGAGCCTAGAGGGTGCCGAAAATGTGCCCCCGGGGGTAGGCAGAGAAGCGATTTTCTAAATATGGGTGCACACAGCATACATTTATTTCTATTCAGGCCTTGGTCTCATAAATGTATGGCTTCTCAACCTGCTTTCAAGTTTAGTATATTCAGACTGCTTAGGAAGTGTAGTGCCTTTCCCGCTCCCAAGGTCCACCACAAAGAAGCAGAGGTAGAGAGAAAGAGGATCCAGTCTCCAGAGCGCTGGCTGTAAGGCTAACTCCCAAAGCCCTTTCACACACTACCTGGCAGTTATACAACGGCGTTACCTGCATGCACAACAATAAGCTGCTTTTCTGGCTAAGGACATGGAGTGGGAAATCCAAGTATAGCTAAAGCTAATCAGCACTTTAAAAGTCTGAAGCCACCCTTCTTGACGCACCACACGAGACGTGGATCAACTAGCAGGTGTTTCTTGAAATGAGAAACAGACGGCAAAGGCTGTTAACTACAGCTCAGCTACATTAAACGCAGGCTGCTCTGCCCCCTGCTCTGTTCAACAGCCTTTCACGATGCTAGAAGACACAAACCTTGTGAGGATGCTTCACATGCACACAAAAGCCCAGTTCTTTCAGCACTCTCCTCTCAGCCTTTATAATTTGGTTCTTCAAGTTCACATACTCTTGATCCAATATTAGAGGGACAGGCTTCCTGTTTCAGGGAAGAAGGACACAAATTGAAATGCTTCAGACAAAATCCAAATGGCAGAATAACGGAGGGCATGTGCAACAGCTGGGACCCGATTTGGTGGGCCTTGCTGCTGGCTCTGCTTTGGCTCGTATATGAACTCCCTAATCCCAGCCTTGGGTAACCCATGTGTTCTTGGGCTGCAACTCCCAGAAGCCTTCACCACCAGCTGTGTTTCCTGGGGTTTCTGGGAATTGCAGTACCAGAATAACCCTGAGTTGCTCAAAATTGGGAACCAATATCTAATCTATGGCTGACTAGAACTCACTGCTCTAAACCTTCTCTCTGAAACTTAGGTACAGCGGTGCCTCGCTTAGTGATGTTAATCCGTTCCAGGAAAAACGTTGCTAAGCGATTTAAAAAAGCCCACAGAAACGCATTAAAACATGTTTAATGCGTTCCTATGGGCTTAAAAACTGACCTTATGTGAAGATTCTCCATGGGGCGGCCATTTTTGGTGCCTCTAAAGCGAGGAGACACAGCAGATGGCCATTTTGTTTTTCCAGCGGCCATTTTGAAACTGCCAATCAGCTGTTTAAAAAGGGTCGCTTTGCCATGATTGCTTCCCCACGATCATTGCAAAGCGATTTTTCCCCATAGGGACCATCGCTAAGCGATCGCTCTTGCGATGGCCAAAACCCCATCGCTAAGCGATTTTGTCGCTCAACGGAGCAATCGCTAAGCAAGGCACCACTGTACTGGCTTTTTCCACATTGGTCTCCATCAGAGAAATGCAAGGGTTCGGCAACATTGTCAGCTCCATGACAGAGAAGGAGCTTGTGAGACAAACCAAAGTGACATGACCGAGGACACAGCGTAGGGCTGTGGCGTAGGCTTGGCACATCATGACCAAGGTATGGGACAGTTCCATAATATGTACACTCCACAGAACACTTCTGATGCAACTTCCACATCTGCCCACCCTTGCTCCCACCTCCAATGATCCTAAATAAAACTGGTTTGCCTTTGTTGTTTAGTCATTAGTCCGACTCTTCGTGATCCCATGGACCAGAGCACGCCAGGCCCTCCTGTCTTCCACTGCCTCCCAGAGTTTGGTCAAAGTCATGCTGGTAGTTTCGATGACACTGTCCAACCCTCTCGTCCTCTGTCATCCCCTTCTCCTCTTGCCCTCACACTTTCCCAACATCAGGGTCTTTTCCATGGAGTCTCCCTGGAAAAGCTATGAAGGTTGACCCAACAAATGGATAGCCTCATTTCTTTACATTCCCTATTTATAGGCCATTACAGACCCCAGAAAAACAATACAAAAACTCAAAACTCTTCCTACTCAAGAGGAGCCCATCCAACCCAGAACTTTTTGACAGGGTGGGTGGTGATGTTCTAGCAACTCCCCTTTTATGGAATGGTGACCCAAGGGCAGAATGACTTCCTTCTCATCTCTGCAGATAAAAGATCTCTGGTGCTTGGCTTAGGGGTGGGTCAAAGGGAGAAAAGAAGCCATCTGCTAAATCGCAGAGAATGACTGCACTTGAGCAGTGAGAAGGGGGTCTGCAGGCTGGTCAAGACCAACCCTACTTGGCGAGAGCTGGAGGGAGAGAAGTGGCAGTGGAAGCAAGGAACTAGAAGCTGAGGTTGGGACTGGCGGCCTTAAAGATGTTCTGGATCTTTGAAATGGGTACTACATGGCCAGAAAGGTGGTAAGGTTAATCCCCTAGCTCCATGTCCTTACTTTTTCTCTCTTAGAAACCGAAGTCTGTGGAATACATTAATGACATCCCTTATACGGCGTGGTGCTTCCTCAATTTTGGATGCCAGGTGAACACAGGCCATTGACACATGCTGAAAAACAAGCAGTAGAGAGCCACTGTTTCACAAGATTCGTTAATGAGGAGTGGATATCAGTACAACAGTAAGTTTAGGTTGGATTCAACAATTAGCTGCGTTCTACCTGTCAGGAAAATTAATGCTTTTGAACCCATGTGGTCTGGCCACACTGCTCAATATCTCTGTGGTGAGAGGCTACCAGTAGGTATCCAGAAGGGAGGCAAATGGGAACTCTATGAACCCTGTCTTGACTTCAATAACGGGGGGAAAACTGGTTGTACATACTATATAAAATGATAACTGCTGTTCTAGTCAAGTGCTACTGTATACTTGTAACCTTAATTTTTCCCCACGAAATATTAGAATCTAGATTTTTATATAAAATACTCAAGTGCCAACAATGGCATCACATTTATTTACAGTGGTGTCTCGCTTAAGCAAGGAACCGATCATCGCAAAGCGAAATTTCCCCATTCAGATCATCGTTTTGCGATCACAAAAAGATCATCGTTACGCGGTTTCATCGTAATGCCGGGCAATCGTAAAGTGAGGCACCACTGTATTTAAAATATTTCTACCTCGCCTTTCCCCAATGTGGCTACCATTTTAAAAAATAAACAAATAGTACAATTTAAAAAATATAAACAAATAAAGAGTCTAGGATAAACTTCTAAAGATTAGTGAATCAGCTAAGGAATGGAGGTGGGGGTTTCCAAATTCATTCACATTCCCAATTTATCAGGGACAGCCAACAACATCATGCAGTTGTTAAGAGTGCTGGACTCGGCCTTTATAAACCCAGGCTCAAGTCTCCACAGAGTAGCTCTGGACAATTCATACTTTTCTGGGCATGAGCTGCATCCCAAGGTTGTTGGAAAAGTAAGGTGGGAAGATAGTCATATATGCCACCTTGAGTCCACTGATGGAAAAGTGGAATATAAATGTAGCTTTTAAAAAAAGGAAAACCCATCCTATTAATTCATAAAACAAATGTGTACCTCCATGGAATGCTTCACAAATGATTTCGTATAGAAAAAACGCTGGAACAAGACCTGCCCTGTAGCCATGGCCACCTAGGAAAAATAAAATAAATATTAATGTTACTGGAATAAATACATTTGAACGATAAACAAACCATCTATTCCTTTATTGCTACACCAATATCACAATCACTCAGGGTGGACTAATTTAAATCAAAGTAAACTATTATGTTTATGCTCAGAACCAGGGAGCATTTGTTAATGGAATGCAGAACTTACACTTTTTTAATGCTTTTTTTTTGCTTCTCTGTCTGAGCGTCATAAAAACGAAGCAACACACAAGAACAAAAAGCTATGACTAATACAAAGAAGATACAACAACCACTGGGTTGGGCATAGTAGTTTATTTTCACCGAGATGACTCAGACCGGTTTGAGGAGATGTTTAACAGGTCCTCCATTAGAGAAAAATGTCTGAAGTCACATTGTTTTTAACAGACAGAAATTCTAATTCAGACCTCATCTTTAGGGCTAATGTTTTGGCATCCAAATTTAAACTTAACTAAGCATTTTCATTTTTTAAAAAACTATCAGAAGCATGTGATTTCAATTTTAAAAAATCTTTAAAACCATGTATTTTAAATGCACAGCAAACCTTTGTGATTTAACAACTTGGTAAGGATACAGACCAATTCTGTATGGTATATCTTCCACTCATCTTGTTCTATGTAAATCCCCCAAAGCCAAAAGACAAAGGGAGAGGTTCTAATTAATAATACAATTAATGAACCAACAGTATCTGCTATGTTCAAAGAGATTAAAAGATGGAAAAATAACAGCCAGAAATATTCACCTACAGCATCTGAAAGGTTCCTTCCCCCTATGTTATCCTTTTCTAATGGCTGGTGAGTCCTTGATGAGAAACGTTTGGTGTTGATGTTCAACTTAAAACTTTGCCAACTCACACACCCCAGGAGTTCACCCCCACCTCTCTGTTCTGTAAAGTCGGAGTATTAGCTACTGAAAGCTGGATCACGACAGGAGAAATTGCCTTAAACCACAATTCAAATTTTGAAAATTGAGGTTTTTCTAAACAGTTTGATTAAAAACCAATTTTTAAATTTAAATCATTATTTCAATCAATTTTAAAATAAGAGCTGATGTTTATCTATGATGGATCCCGTCATCATCTAGGCACAGCTCTTTAGAAAACTAATCCATGAGCCCAAAGCACAAACCTCAGAGCTGTGAAATAAACTCATAACAGACTCCTCCAAAAGACGTCAGAAAACTAAAATAAGTTGTTACAAAGAGAGAAGGGATGAGTCAGAGGACACAAAGAGCAGGGCCACAGCTTGCCTGGAGCAGTTCTTTATCCAAACAGCCAACAGGAGGGAGGCTGCTTTCAAAGGGGGCCGTACTCAGCTGGCCTTCCAGGGCAAAACAAATCAAGACCAGCAAGGGAAAGAACAGCAGTCATTTCCGGAAAGGCCTGTTGCGTCACTCGCTTCCTGGAACCGAAAGCTGCCTGGGCTGGGGAGCCTCCATTAAGCAAGTTTTCTGTCTCTACTCCTTTGCCTCTGAACATGAAAAAATCACTGTCTTCACCAGGCTCTCAAGATTTTAAAAGCCAGAAGGTTCAACAAAAAGAACAAAAGCCCCAACATTCCTGGCCAGGTGGAAAAGAAACTGAACAAAGTACTGAATCGAAGGCGTATACCAGTCTCCCCCTCCTTCTACTCCCCGTGGGATGCTTAACGTATCCCATGAAATAGGGCCCATGCAGGGAGAGTATCTTTGTGTCTCTCCCAGAAACCCGCTCAGCGGAGCTGCAGTTCTTCCCTGTCCCCAAGAGACCTCCACCTTCCTGTTTCTCTCACTGTCTCTTCAAGTAAGCAATGAGATTTTCTTCCAAGTCAAGCTCACTCCCACAATAAGCGTATGCATCAGTTCTGTGGACAATGGTATAGATTACCCGAGAAGTACACATCTGTGTAGATTATGTACACTGCCAGCCTTTTTATATATCAGAATCCTACATGCACTAAATTTCTGACTAACCCAAAATCTTCTAATTGGGGTGGGGGAGGACACAGCTCCTGCCCCAATATTGACATGCCTTGTTGGACACAGCCAGATGTCCCCGGGGAGGTCAACCACCAGAAAAGCCCCATCCTCCTTAACGACTACCCTCCACTCACAGTTCTTATCCAAGGGCAACGTTCTTCTGAGGTTATTTGTTCATTACAGCAACCACTGCTGGCCAGAATCCATGTTCATAAGGGTAGCCTCCCTAAATTTGCCCCAAATTACAGGAACGTAATTGATCACTATCGGTAAGAGCAATCCTCTCCTACCTTTTTCCAACACCACAGAAGCTGGCTGATACAAATCCCATCAGCCATGGGAGTCTAACAACATCTGGAGTGACACATTTTGCCAAACCTTAAAAGTCTCTCCTCCACCTTTAACTGATCTCACTCGAAAGTAAGATGCCCTCCTCCAGTTCAGGATGATTACTATGGAGGTGACAAAAGCTTTGATTGGGCATGGCAATTTCTTGCTAACATGAAACTGTGAGATACAGCTTAAAAAAATAACCCCGTGAGGCATCTTAAAGGTTAAAAATTGGCTCTAATTTGCTGTGCTCAATTCCCACCAGAGTACAAACCAAGGTGGTCTGGATGGTCACCCTAGCAAATTTATTATGTCATAAAACACATTTGCTAAGCCTCTTGCTTTTACTACAACCAACTAAGCTGTACCTCTCAGGGGAAATAAACTACCCCCATTCCCAAAACACCAAACTAGAAAAATGAAGTGCCCAGAATCAAAATGGTGGTGAGGACTCTAACTTCCTCCTGAGCTCTTCCGAATTCAACCCCCCCCCAGCATTCTAGATGTAAATGGCACCAGACTTTTTATTTACATTAGGTTTACAACACTGCCTATCTCTTAGAACCCAACAAGTTCAGAAAATTATTTATACAGTGAATAGATCTTGTCTATTTTCCCTTATTTTACCATAGGCAGCAACATACTTTTAACCGTAGCTCTTTCCTATAAAACACATCAACAGCACTGCTCAAACTGACAGTTTCTGGCAAAACACAGAATTTGTTTGTTGATTATAAAGGCAGAGCCCAAACTACAAATTTTCTTCCTTAGGAGAAATGAGAGTGGCTACTGTATCAGGCTTTTACTAAAATCTGGTTAAATGTCTTTTTGTCTGAATCTACCTTGAAAACTTTTAAAAACAAACAAATAAACAGCATTTCATTAAATTAAGCTACTGTATTGGGGGAAATGCTCCAAAAGTGATACAGAAAAGATACTTGTAGTTCTTTTTTTGTACATATACTTAAAAGGAGAAACAGAAGAAAGTGAGCAAAATGTTTCCATTTCTGGCATCCTCCACTCCTCTACCAAAAGCTGATATTTACTATGTTTAAATATTTGCTATGGTATAGCTCTTTCTCATATGTCTGAGAAAGTGAATTTTTCCACAAACGTTCACATTACAAATAATAATAACAGTTTTTAAGGTGCCATCAATTTTCTGCCTTTTAAAGTCCTCCAATTATTTTTATTATCCTTTATTTTTATTTTGCTTTCACCCAAGATACTATAAAGAGCTGAAAAAAGAGAAAGGAACAGAAGACTTTGAGAAGTGGACCTCAGCTCCTGTAGCAAAAGCAGGCATTTACAATATTGCTTAAAACATTTTAAGCTGCCTTTCTCCTTAAAACGGATCCAAAGCTTCTTGCAACCATTAAAAGACAGCATTTAAGATTAATAACAACGGGCGCACAAGCCTAATAAGGATCAATGAAATTCCTTTACTAAGCATGTGCTCTCTGTAAGTCATTGAATAATTAAGATAACTATTGTTATGGAACTATCAATAACTACCAGCTACCAATCCATCTATCAATCAATTTATCTATCCGTCTACCAACCTATCCATTCACCCATCTACCTACCCACCTATCTATCCATTCCCAATCAATATATCATCTATAAATCAATCAAACATATATCGCTCCATAATTTATGACTCACTCTGGGCGGCTGGCAAACGGTCATTCCGTCGAATAAACACAATACACTCCAAACTTCCATTTTATATATTTTTAAAAAGCCTAATTAACCACCTCCCAGAAATAAACCCACATGAAATACGATAAATCAGCCTAATTTAAAAGAAAACCAACAAACGGAAAAACTCTCGTTCCCCCTCCCCCAGGGAAGGAACGAAACGATGAGGCCGTTATTTTCCTAACGTTCCTCCCCACCCAACCCCCGCCATCCAAGGGGCCCAACCGATGCCTTCCCAGGCCGGCCCACATTTGACGCTTCTCCCCGGCCTCTCCGGTTCCCCGAGGCCCTCTGTTCCCCTCAGGAACGGACCCTCCCTTGGCCCGGTTTAGGCCTCACACACACACCCGGGTTCCCCAGGCCGAGGCCTCCTCCTTCTTCCCCTCACCTGAGGGAGCCGGAGGAGGATGCCGGCGGCCTGGATGAGCTCGCAGCCGGTGATGCGGAGCTGGGCCTCGGTCTCGGCGTCGAGGCCGCTGCCCATGGACGGGGTGAAGCGCAGGGCGTCTTCGGACAGGAGGCAGTTCTCGAGGGTGATGAGGACCCCCGAGTAGAGCCGGTCGCCGATGCGGACCGCGCCGGGCGGCGGCGGGAGGAGAGGAGGAGGAGGCGGCAAGGCCGAGGCCAGGCCGCCGGAGGAAGAGGACGAGGAAGACGCCGAGGAGGAGCCGCCGCCGCCGGAGCCCACCACGCTGGACGAAGCAGGGCCGAAGCCCGTCGCGGCGCCGGCGACCAGGCCTCCCGCGGCCGCCATTATCGCCGCCATCTTGTCCCGACGTCGCAACCTCCGCCGACCGCCTCCCTCCTTCGTCTGCGCTGCCCCCGGCTTCCGCCCCGCGCGAGCCTTTTGTCCGCTCCTCGCCTCCCCGCCCTCCTCTTCTTCCCCCATTGGCCCGCCGCCGCGCGGCGCCCTCTCCCATTGGGCGCGGGTCGCGTCTCTTTTGTGACGTAACTGCCGGGCTTTCAATTTTTTTTAATTTAAAAAGGGGGGGAGGTGCCAGCGGGTGAAGGTTCGTTAGGGAGGTTGGGGGAAAAAAAACACTCCCTTCCCGGCATGCAAGACGCGCCGTGTCTTCGTCACCGATGGGGTTCTACCACTCCAGACACAGGGGGGGCGCAAATATATTTGTCTCATTAACTACGTCCAGATTAAAAATACATTCAGGTAGAAATAAAATACCTGAACAAAATGATTAGGAAAGACACCTGCCATCATGTATTCTTTGTAAAGGGAAGAAGTACTTTTGTAACAAACAAGCCGTTTATTACGAACTCCCCCAATGCTCAAGTCGTACGGCCCGGATACAGCTGGGCGGCCTCGCAGCAACAGCTAGGCCTAGAAGTCTCAGTTTAAGGGCTGCAAAGGCCTCAGTTGACCTTTTTCTCCAGTATTTTGGCCTCGTTTCGCAGCCCACTCCCCAATTTTTTTTTAAATTTGGACATTCAACAGCCACTCCTTCAGCAAAACGTTTACAGTCCAAACCCAGGAAAGGCCACTTTAATTGTGGAGTAAATCCCATTGAAAGGAAGTGGGGCTTAATTCTGGAATTTTTTTTCCTAGGCCAAGAATCTGGCCTGTTTTCAAAAGGCTGAGGGATTCTGTTTTTTTTTAAATGTGATACATGGAAACAGAAAACTGGATTTCTCAAATGTATGCCAAAGCACTCTGTGTGCCCTTCTGTATCTGATTAAAAACTAAGGAACCAAGAAAAATATAATTTGAGTCAGCTTTAAAAAGCTTCATTTGCTATGTTCTGAGGATACAAGCGGCGAAAAGGCAAAACTACACCTCACACTCAGGCATTCACAAATTATGCAAATACTTTACTGTATATCCACCATAAACAATTTATCTAAACTATCTTCACCTCCCACCTTCAAGATAGAAAAACCACATGGATTGTAATAATACCTTTATTTTCTAAAATGTAGATAAGGAAAGATGACGGAAATGCTAGTGCTTCACAAGGTCTTCCATCTTATTCACCAGGACTCCCATTTGCTCTCCCTCCCTTTTGATCCACAAAAAACTCACAATGAAGTAATTGTACTGTTCATCTTGAAAGCCCCATAATATTTGTTTGTTTTTCCTCTCCTTTTTCCTCTTCAATTTGGGCAATGTGCTGAAAGAAACTAATAGAGCTACTTTTTTTTTGAAATTAAGATGCTAGCCAAGCCTTTTGTCTCACTACTGGGGAACATCTGGCCCTCCGGAGGTGATGTGGATAGAAATGTCTATTATGCTTGACCATGTTGCCCAGGGCTCATGATGTCGTAGTTCAACAGCACTTGTCAGGGCTAAAGATTTCTCAGACCTACCATTTTTATCTGTGTCGGCTATTTCCCCCCCAAGTCAGTAAACAAGCCATTCTCTTGAATTTCATATTTACCGCAACAGGAGCTTTGACGTAGCCTTCCACTTCTTTCATGCCCTCAAAGTTCACACAGAAGCCAAGGCAGAAAAGGGCAACAGAGAGAAACAAATATGTCTAAGAATGACTTTGCCCAAAGAGTGCAACTTTTTGCACCTCCGAAAAGAGGCAGGTTGCCAAATCCAAAGTCTTCTGGAGTTACCATCCATAAATCATCAATGACCGGTTGTTTTTAAAGGACAATTTCCCACATCAACAGTCAATCATGAGGCTTTGGAGAGGATTTTAGTTTACAAACTGTGGCAAAATAAATTTTATTGACTGATCATTTCTTACAAAGGGTCCTGTTAATATTTCCAGTGCTCAGGGTGCAAACAGCATCTTCAGGCAACTTTCAAAAGGCGTGAAAATATTCCTTCAGGCTGTTTCCCATCTCCTTGGGCAGCGAGCAGTCCTTCTTCTCCTCTTCTCTTGGCTAAAGCGGCTAAGGACTTGAACGTCTTCGGCTCATAGATTGCAAGATCGGCCAGCGACTTCCGGTTCAGTTCGACCTGGCACTGACATGAGAGAACAAGAGTCAAGAGCTTCAAAGTATCAACCGACAGCCTCTGGAGCAAAATGGCCTCAAATAAGTAATAATTTCTAAGTTGGGAACTAATTCATTAAAAAAAAGAATTTATTGAAAATGTGGAAATCGAGGAGAAAAGGAATTCTCTCAGAGAAGGAGTACAGCTCAGTGGAAGAGCTGACAAGCTATTTTTAATTTATTTGTTCCACTTATAGCTTGCCCCTTCTTCAACAAGCCCAAGGCAGTGCATCCAGCTTCTTCTTCCCTCTCCTGCATCCTCAGAACAACCCTGTGAGGTAGGCCAGGCTGAAAAAAAGAATAACCCGCCCATGATCTCACAGTGAGATGCATGTTAAAGGCCCTGGTTTTGCAGCTTTATTTTAAAAGCCTGTTACAACTTTCTACCCATGGCACCACATGAGGTCTGTGTTCCTACCTCAAGGATCAAACCGCTGAAGTAAGGAAGTTAAAGCATTTAATACAATTTTAAAAAGAGAAAAAGCAAGCTGAATGTTCAGCAAATCACACATGATGTCTTAGAAACGGTCAGATCCTTGGCTCCTTTTTCAGTCCTACATAGGCCACTCTAAACCTGGTTGAGCAGAAATGCGGTTTCGGGTTGAAGCAACATCAGAGAGCAAAGCCAGCCCATGATATTTGGCTGCTTGAGGCAGGGCCATAAAATCGTTCTTCCTCCTTCCTGAGGTCCTGTGCATTCGCAGCTCAAGCTACCCACGTTATTTTTGAACAGGCGGCAGAAAAGCGCACATTCTACCCAATCCGGCCTCTAACAGAGCATTTGCTGCTCATTTCTGAACCCACCGCCTGCCATTTGAGGCAACAACCTTCCCACCTCACAGGAGAGCCAGCTCTGCAGGAAAAAGGGGGGGAGGGGGGAAGGAGAGCTTAAAAGAAAAGCAGCCACTTACCTTGTAAAGGTTGCTGATTAAATTGTGGTATTTCACATTGTGTTCCAGACACCCTGCTTCAATCCTGGTGACCCAAAGCTGAAAGGAGGAAAAGGTTATTCAAAGCAGCATATTATTATGTGCCAGCATTGAGCCAAACTGTTCCATATACCACAGAGGGAGCCAGCTGGGCTCTGAGTTCTGGGATTCCCATTTCCATCAAGCCCCAGCTAGCAGGGTCAGGGAAGATGGGTGAGCTGGGGTGCAAGCCAAACGTGGATGGCTGATCGACGGTGATCATTTTAACGGAGCAGAAAGGTGTTCCCTGACCTACCGCACAAAAGACTTCCACTTACAAGTATAAATTATCTAGTATCTGTTTTCTGTTTGCTTTCCTTTAGGTTCCTGTTTCAATGGGATCGTCTTTTTCATTTTGCTTTAATATTAATTTCCTTGTCAAAATCCTATGATGTACATAGACAGGCGTAAGCCCAGCAATGCAAGTAAATCTCAGTGGCCCATGCCTGCTAGTTCAGGGGTCCACACACATGCATTAGTTCAGAAGATGGGTGTCTGATCCTTCTAATGCAGGGACAGACAAATTCTTTGGTGCCCGGGACCACCTCCAGTTCTGTAAAACCGTTTCTGGGACACGTGGCAAAATAAGGCCCCAAATCCAGGGCTTCTTCTGCCAAAAAACTAGTCCCGGAGGTCACCAGGAAAGGGGGTGGGGGTGGAAATTAGCCAAAAGTTCTTGTTGGGATTTTTTTAAATGATCAGGGGAGTGACAAAGGCAGCTAAAGGAATCACACAGCACTCGCTCTCTTCCAGCTGAGAATGCCAGCAGTTGAAGTGAGGTCATCCCCATGCAGACAATCTGGTCCTCTTCCCACCCTCTCCCAAAAGGACCCCCAGACTGGAATAGCCTGCCTTCGAAGCTCCTTTCCTGACCTTTTTCATGTCTCTCTTTTTCTGGCTCCTTCCATCCGTAGCAAAGACAAAAGCTCTCCGGACTGCGCGGACGGCCAAGCTGTAGCAGCGGTTCTTCCTTCCACGGAAATGCTTCGGAGGAAGGGGAAAACATGAAAAACCATCTACTTCCATTTGTGAGACTGATCAAGACATCACTGCTGTTCTGTTCAAATTTCTTAGCATTTCCCCCTACCCTTGGTTAGGGAACTCCTAGTTTTACATCATCCTACTCATAAGCCTGAGTTGGCAACAGTGCATGCCCTAATAGTGTGTCTAACCCGGTGGTTCCCAACTTTGGGTCCCTAGATGTTCTTGGACTACAACTCCCAGAAAACCTGGCCAGCACAGCCTATGGGGAAGGCTTTGGGGAGTTTTAGTCCAAGAACATCTGGAGACTCAAGGTTGGGAATCACCGGTCTAAGGTGTTTGCTCAAACTGGCCAACACTGAGGATTATTCTTGGGTAGCGACGTGGACTATCGTTTCCAACATACTGGGCATACCTGGATTCATTTCACTTTGGGGAAGAAAGCAATGACTACAAGCAGAATTTACTCAGAGATCAGAGCAGCGCAGATACATTCTTGAGAAAATTTGTGAACAATTTTCCTGGCCTGCAAACTTACTGGAAGCTGGGTTTCTCAGCTCACTGTGAATATTAATGAAAAGGTTTTCACAACCTATTTGTGTTTAGCAAAATAGCTGTTTTGCTTTTCCACAAAACTCTGACTTCAGCCCAGCTGATTCTTCCTCTCCAGACAGCCCCTTCCTTTAACACTTCTCAGCCATAAACCTAATACAATAGATGTGTATTGGCTTCCAGACGTTTAGCATTAGCAAGTAACTCCGTTTAACATGAGATCATCAACACTTTGAAAGCAGTATATTAGCAGTATATTAACTGGTCTTTTGAGACTGAAGGATGCCTAACAAAACAAAACTGAATAGTGTTCTCACCCTCTGTATCCCATTCTTAACTTTAATCCCACTGCCTTAGATATGTACTGAGTTATACTGCATCTGTAGGTTAAATGTTATGTTCAGTGTATCTAAAAACAAGTTGTAGAATAGTTTTAATGTTTTCACAAGGCTTTTAAAAAGGCCTTTTTCTTACATCCTACCCATCCTGACTCAGGAATAAATGCTGAGTGTAAATTACTCCTCGATTTAAAAAACACACACACACACACAGAATTCTCTGGCCAAGAAGGTGAAATTTGAATCTGGGCCTTCCTACTTGAAAATCAGACCATGGGGAAAGTTTCTTTTTCTTCGGCCTTTTTCGACTACACAGAGAGCTGAAGTTTCCTAGGAACTGCGTTTCCGAAAAGAAACTTTTCCAACCCCTTCTTGGAAACAAGACGAGGAGCCTGAAGTTGGGAGTTCGAATCCCCTCCTCCCGTGCCTCTCAGACCGGGGCTAGACTCAGTGATCCATAGGGTCCCTTCCAGCTTTGCCGTTCAAATATTTATTATTGCAACTGCTGAAGAGCTCAGAGGTTGAGGAGTCTCTGGCTGCGGAGCCAGAGGTTGGGAGTTCGATTCCCCCCACTGGGGCCTCCTTGACAGGGGATGGAGTTAATGATCCATAGGGTCCCTTCCAGATTAATATACAATAGGAACCTCCCTCCTTCCGAGTAAGCAGGCTTTTGCTCCGAGCTGCTCAATGCAAAAGCAATTAGGAAGATTTTTTGAAAGGGGGGGGGGTTAAAGGAAACAGAGAGACGTTAAATCAGGCTGGAATCAGCCATTTAAAGTTGCAAAATCTTTCCCAGGGAGAGGGAAGAAATGGGGTTGCTTAGCAATGGGGTGGTGGGGGGGAGAGAAGGTAAAGGTCCCGATCCTAAATCCTTACCCGTGCATGCCGGAGCACCTCCTGCTTGCGCCAGAAGCGATCGGTCACCCGGACCCGGAGCCACGCGCAGGAGGTTAAGAAAACCATCCCGCCCGCGTGTTTTTTTGCAAAGGAGGAAGACACTCAAGGGCGCAAAAGGAGGAGAAAAAGGAGGGCAGGCAGCTCAGAGGGCTACGGGGTGGAGATTGCAACCGCGCACTTCCGAGCTCTCTTGCGGCCCCGGGTGCTTGAGGGCGACAAAGAGGGAAACGGCGAAGCGCAGGCCCACTCACTTCCGGTCGCCATTCGAAGCCTTTGAGTGGAAGCCAGGTTTTCCCCATGGGCTGCTTCATTGCCATCTTGGAACTCTGCAGAGCTGAAAGGGACCCTTGGGATCATCGACTCCAGCCCCTGTCAAGCGTCCCAGTGGGGGATTCGAACTCCCAATCTCTGGAGTCTAGTCCCTGTCAAGCGGCCCAGTGGGGGATTCGAACTCCCAACCTCTGGCTCCACAGCCAGCCATCCAGCAGTTCTTTCCCAAAGCGTGAATTAAGGAAAACTGGGTGGTCTGAACCCCGGCAACTACGTGAATTAGTAGGCTGCAGATATACAAATGTACATATTTTGTGTATGTGTTTCAGGGATCTGTCCCCCTGCCAGCCCGAAGTTTATATATTTCTCCCAAGTTTGCTGGAGAAATATATAAAATGAAGCAATTCGGTGTTCCAAACTCAACCCGGTTCCTTCCACGTGGCCATGCAAATGTGGTCTCCCGAAACATTCAAGCTATGTATAATTTAGAGCAGGATGATGGGAGGATATATTTGATTACTGCTGGTATTAAATAAGTGGGAGTCGGAGATCCTTGCTGATCCGCTGCCAATCACCCTGAAATCTCTACATATTTGCAAACTTTTCCCTTCCAAATTCTGAATTCTAGAGTTCGACAGGCTGGCAGCTCAGATAACTTTTTAGCTTGCACGTGACAGCCATCTAATAAAGCTTCAACTCACTCTGATGGGGGGGGACATGTGTGAAACCCCCAGGATGATGGTGTAAAGGTGGAGAAAAGGTGGCCCCCGTGGGGGGAGTCTCAGATTCACATATTCGGCTTGAGGTGCCATTCTCTTACATCCACCTTTCATTTTCCATAAGAATTTTTAGTTCCCAGGCCAAAAAGAAAGAGAGACATCCATTTCCCTGTTTTCATTCAGAACTTCTAGGTCAGGTGGAAAGCAGTAGGAAAAGAGGATGGTTGCACATGAGATGGAGTAGCTCAAAGCGGAAACCACGACTTTTAGTCTGGAAGAGCTGAACAAGGCTGTGAATGACAGGACCTTTGAGAATATGTTCCTTAATAGGGTCTCTGTAAATGGGAAGCAACCGGATGGGACAGCATGACAGCAAGAAAACAGGTTTAGGATTAAGCTACAGCATCTGTTGAGCACCTGCAAGGCAGTATCATACAATAGGAATTTAGGGACCTTAGGTTAGAGGGAGGTCACAATCTTTTTTAACCCCCTCCCTAGTGCAAGATCCACAACTGGCACCTGGTGCCATTAAAGAGATACACTAGAACTAAAGTATTCTGATTAACACAAGAATTTGTTTGTAATGCTGAACAAAACCTCTTAGTACTTCTGCATAATATTTCTACTTTTAGGGGCCCCCTTTCAATGTTGTTGTTGTTGTTGTTATTATTATTATTATTATTTATTGGAAACAAGGTCGATTTGACAGCTGCTCTTGTTCTGTATTTGAAGTCAGAAATATTTGCATATCCACTGGAATTCAGCCAGGTAATTTAGCCATTAATAGACTTATCTTCTCTCTGATTGTCATCATCTGCTGTGCAATCTGGTGAAGCGATAGGCCCCTTCCACCAGGAGCATACATCCTACATTAGAGGAATATATTACTCCTAGCATGAATTTAGCTTGTTGATAAATGTAAGGATGATGAAAGGCCCTGTTGACACCTGTACAGTACATATATACAGATCCTAATCCTATGCATATGGGTGCTAAAGACCGATAGAACTCCTGCTGGGTGGATTTGGTCAGTAACAGATTGCTGCTGATTAAAGACTCTCATTGCCAATTTTGGGATTCACACGTTTTCGTCTCATTGTCTGCAAGCCATGTGCAACTCAAAACAGAAAATGGAAGTCTTTTAATCAAGAACAATCTGCTGCTGTGGATGACCTCACTCTCATTGTGTACAAATGCACAATGGCATTTTGGCCACAGCAAAATAATATAAGCAATTGTTTCAAATGGGGAGAATTTTAATATGAGACATGAGATGCTGGAAGGGATGAATCAGGAAGGAGCAAAGGCGCCGGGGGCTTGAGACAGAGGGATAGCTTGGGTAGTGGTGGTTGCAGAGGTCTCTGATCCAAGATCCTGAGCAGTCTCGTTCCACTGAGTTCTCAAGGTGAGATCTGCTCCCTTTGCAAATAAAAGTTCCATTAGGGGGAAGTGTCCTTTCTCGGAAGCCAGGTGTAAAGGGGTTTTGTGGAGCCAGCTTGTTGCGTTGATGTCAGCTCCATGGTCCAGGAGATAGCTGGCCACCTCAACGTGGCCGCAGCTGGAGGCTCTGTGGAGGGGAGTTAGATGAAGGCTGTCTCTTCCATCCACCTGAGCACCACCTTCTTTGACCAAGAGATGGACTATACCAAGGTGTCCAGCAGTGGCGGCTTTGTGGAGCGCAGTACAACCATGGCAGTCGGCGAGGTTTACATCTGCTTGCCTTTGGAGCAGTAGCTTCACAATCTGGAAAGAGAGAGAGAGAGAGAAAGTTTTCACTTAGTTTCCATGAAGATCTGTTACTGGCAGTCATTATGGAGATGTCATTTGCTATCTGTTTCTGTCCTGTTAAGGATAGGAAAGAACAGAGCTTGCTATCTCAGAAAAAGGAGGAAGGAAGGAAGACTAAGAGTACCAATCCGTCATTCAAGGATGCTATGGAAAAGACAAGAGGGGAAAACTCCTTTCAGTTCACCATCACCCACTGGCTCCTAGCTCTTGGATATATTACACTATCTCTTATTTTAAGACCAACCTCTTGATGGCCATTGGTAGATGCAGAGGAAAGCGGCGTCCGTCCCAGCTCGTCCTGTATGTTCACGTTGGCTCCGTGCGTGAGTAAGAGGAGCAGGGCGTCTACTCGTCCAAGCTCAGCGACGATATGTAGTGGCGTGATGCCTCCTTTGCACCCCTGATCTGGGCTGACGGGCCAGGAAATCAAGAGGTCCATGATATGCAGCTGGTTGTTAGCTGTGGCCCAATGCAAGGGTGTCCACCAGTTACAGTCCACGGCAGCCACATCCGCACCACGCCGCAGAAGCAGCTGCATCATCAAGGTGTGTCCATTGGCTGCCGCACAATGGAGCGGGGTCAGGCCGCCTCGGGTGGCTGCAGTCGCCAGGGCCCCCCGCGCCAGGAGGAACTCTGCCACATGGGTGTGGCCACTCCAGGCCACGTGGTGCAAGGGCGTGTAGCCAGAAGGGGTGCCTGCGTGGATCACTGCTCCGCGCTGAAGGAGAAACCTCACCAGGGCAGCGTAGCCATTCAAGGATGCGACATGCAGGGGCGTCCACCCGTTCTCATCTCTTAGAAACACAAAAGTAGGACAACAGGTCTCAGAAATATCTCTTTCAATGTGGGCTTCCCAAATCTCTTTTCTCCCCTCAAACATTTATGGTATGCCTGGGAGGTAACTAGTTACAAATAATTAATGATGTGTAATCAGAGCTTGGGAAAGTTACTGTTTTGGAGCATAAGAAAGAGTATTCACCCTCCGGCTTAGCTTGAGTCGATGGTAGTTGAGAGATGCTCAACTAGTTGAGCTGTATTCCCAGAAAGTAACTTTTCCAATGAACTCTCTCTTTTTCAAATAAGGAAGTTATCACTACCGTACTGAATATATTTGGGAAGAGAGGCTTCAGCACCATGGATAGCTCTTCTCAGTGGCATAGTGGAACCGGGGCTCACAGGGTCAAAGCTCCGGGACCTGCTGAGCAGGAAAGACTCCAGCATCATTGGAGCCTAGCAGCAAACCTCGCCATAAAAGGGAGAGAAATTGAGTTTCCTGGAGGCAAAATCCAGTTGCTTGCTATCCTCTCTGCATTGCTGAGTAGTTGAGGAGGGATTTGTTCACGGCTGAGCAATTAAGAACCATTAACCTGACAAAAGACCTGTTCTTAAAGTCTTGATAGGCATCTCTGGGTAGGGGGTGTGTGGTTATGGGCACAGTCAAACTGAGCACTTGTGCTTCCAATTTACCACTAGAGCGCTGGACAGCTCTGGACAGAGGCATTGCCCTTGTGAAAAAGGGAGTCAGAAGACTCCACTGGGTCCGTTTACCACTAGAGCACTGGCTCTTGTTAAGTCAGCTCTGGACAGAGGCGCTGCCCTTGTGGAAAAGGGAGTCAGAAGACTCCACTGGGTCCACACTCCCAGAGTGGCTGATTCATTCATTAGCCACGAATACCGCAGATCCGAAATATGTAGTTCTTTCATGCCACCCAAGGGGGCAGCAGAGGGACATCTCTGCTGCCCTAGCCCAGCTGGTCCCTCAACTCACCTGCTCTCTATGGCTGCTCCTTGCTTCAGCAACTTCTTCACTAGGTGGAGGTTCCCATTCCTGGCAGCTTGGTGGAGCTCCGTCCAGCTGTGTTGCACAGTGGGTGGGATCAAATGATCCTCAACGGCCTTCCCGCTAAACCGGTCGCTGCCTCGCGTCTGGTCTCCTTGCGCCACCACTTCCTCCCATAGGACCATCCATTTTCTGGTCAGTTCAGCTTCCACGTTTGTGCCTCTCGGAGGAAGGACAAGAAATCGCATTTTCCAGGTAGAGAAGACTCAGAAGTGGCTCCCCCTTCCCTTCTTCTGGGGAGGGATCCCTGGGACTGTGCAGCTGGCCCAAGGCTACCCAGGCCGGCTCTGCTCATAGGAATGCCCAGTGGGGGAATCGAACTCCCAGCCTCCGGGTCCATGACCAGAGACCTCAACCACCGAGCTCTCCCACCAGCTACAACCCCGAAAAGGGCTGCCGTAAGTCAGAATTGACTTGACAGCATCCAATTCTGAATCATTACCTCCCTCTTACCTGCCATTTATCCTCTACTTTTCATGAGATCTCTTGCTACGGCAGGTGGCCCAGAGGAAAAGTCGCCTCTGCTCGCTGGTGGATCCCGAGCGTCTTCCCGCAAGCTGAAAAGGGGTGTTTACTCCCCCCAGGAGCTTAGCTGCTCTCTTGTTCCTACGAGGTCTTCCAGATTCTCCGGTCCACCATCAACGACGACCCCTCCAGGGTAACCGCAAAGCGCTGATTTGGCAAAATGGATTCGTTAGGTACGAAATTTGCCTGTCCTAGAAGACTTCGGTGAGTCCAGAGGTCTGAGATTCGGCTAGAGGACGCCTCGAAGAACGAATTCCAACAGGCAGCTAAAGAAAGGACTCGGGCAGCTGGCTATTTTATCCGGACAACCTTTGCTCCATTAATATCTTGCTGGCTCAAAAGTGGAGCCAGAGAGCTCTCTTACGGCATTGTTTCCTGGGGATCTGTACATACCCGAGCGCGCTAAGAGCTGTTTACTTAATGACTAAATGCATTCTGTGAAATGGGAGGAGAAATAAGGCTGCTAATGGTTAATGGGATATGAGCCTGGGTTCTCTCCGCCCCCTTCTCTTACACACACAGACGCTTTTTCAAGTCAACGTTCCACCATCGTAGACCATCCTGCCCTAATCTGTGGGACTACGACACCCATCAATGTTATAGCCAAACCCCTCCAGCAGCCACCAACTAGGGGACGGCCACCCTAGAAGGGGAGCATCTTCCAAATCTCAGGAGTGTTATAGCCAAAGCCACCAACTAGGGGATGGCCAACCTAGAAGGCAAGCGTTTTCCAAATCTCAGGAAAGCAGGACCCCCCCATGAGTCAGAGGGTCACCTCTTACACCCAAGCTGCATTTCAGGCACTCATTCTCTGCCGACAGGATGCTCCGGATATTTCAGGAATATTTAACAGGCAAAAAAGGAACAAAGCTCTGAGATCTCCCCGCGTTTGGGCCAGCAGCTAGCTCTGGAAGGTTGCTTCTGGGGAGGGGGGGTTTAAAAAAAAATAAAATCAAGGTTGGGCGGCCACATCTCAGAGAGACGCTAACTTTGAAAGACCACAGGAATGGAACAAAAGTCCTCGGTGGACCGTCCGACATGCAGCGGCTTGCCTTCTCCGGCGAGATGCTTCGTGCTCGTGTGTCAGGCGCCTGTCAGTCTTGTTTGCCTGGACTTTTTATTTCTTTGCAAGAGTTTCAATCATTAACCTGTTTTTCCACCAGGAGCACGCCGGCCTGATATTTTTCTCGTTCCATGGTTGCCACCTTGTGATGGAATTCTCCCCGACTCTCCTTACCCACGCTGTCGTCGTCATCATCATCATCAAATTGCACACCATGAAAGAGGCCAGACAACAATTCAGAAGGGGTTTCCTAAGAACGCCTAAACTTATTATCAGTGGTTTCCTGTGTTGCCGAGTTTTGGTAAATTTTTGGTAAAGTTCTTTTTGCTATGCAAGAAGTGCAGACTCCCAGAGGAGAATGGTTTCCAGTTCCCCGGTTAGTCCATCCCGTTCTCATTGACTGGCCCTTAAAGTCTCACTCTGAGGCATTTATAGGGGGAAGTACAAAAATGTTACACTACTTACAGTTGTGAACATATCAACAGCAAACCAACCCACCAACACTGCTTCTAACAGACCAAAGAGAGAGAAAGAGAGTGCTCAGCAGAGAGGCGGGGCTCTCTTCGAATTCAGGGGTGGGAAGGAACGATTGGTCAGTGCTGGATAGATTGGCAGTCACCTCAGCAGGAAGGGTTGAAAATCCTTGATGCTACCTATAAAGTTCGGACTCCAAACCAAAGAGGATTCACTTTCTTCCCTGCCCTATATGAATATCAGAGGCACAAAGTACCGAGACAGGTACAGGGCTGATTCGAGGTTGTTGTGGGCCCTTCGCGAGACACTCTTTTGTCCTTGCCCGAAAAAGACACGTCAGACAAGGAACAAAGGAGGAGGAGGGGAGAGGAAAAAAAGGAAGCACTCGTGGCCCCTCCGATTTGCACTCTGACTCTGCTTGGTACTGTATAACCAAGTCTCAGGGATGTCTTAAAAAAACACCCAAATAAGTTAAGGAGGGGAGAGGAAAAAAAAAAGGAAGCATTTGTGGCCCCTCCGATTTGCACTCTGACTCTGCTTGGTACTGTATAACCAAGTCTCAGGGATGTCTTAAAAAAACACCCAAATAAGTTCTTCAACTGTCCACAAGATGGTGCCATGTGCCCAGGAGGAAGGGGGATGGACAGAGGGGGGGGGACTCATCTCCTGTTTTCAAAAAATGAGAAACCAGCACCTTTTCCTTAAGGCAAAAGCTCACACACAGAGGAGCTCTATTCAAATTTCAAGAGGATTGATTCTGCATTTGAATGGGTAGGTGTTAGGTAGAGGGGTGGGAAAATTCCGAGTTTGGACTACAATTCCCAGAGTCCCCCAGCCAGCATGGAGTTTGTAGTCCAAAACAGGAATGTTCCCAAGTCAAGGGGATATCAACGGGGATTCTGAGCTCTGTTAGCAACAGATTTCAAAACACAGTGCCCACAGCCAGATTCCCCCCTCCCCAGTAGAGAGGCAAAACTTTAGGCACCTTTCTAAATCCTTATCAACAAAACCACTTCTAACAGGGTATTTTTTTTGGAGGGGGGGACTTTTGTAAAGCTAATGGCTCTTCATTGCCTCTTCAAAACCAAGCCCCCCCAAAAAAAACATACATGGAGGGGGTGGTGATCATATTTTGTTTTCTCCTCATTCCTGTAAGAATTCTGATGGGGGAAAAGGGAACTCTGGCAATATGGGCTTGAACTCAGGCGGTACCTAAAGTAGCACCGCTCCGTTTCAAGGAAAAAAGGGCAACTCATTTTTAATATATGTCTCTGTGCCTCAATTCTGAGCGGGTCTTCCAGGAGGGAAGACTGAATGGAGATAACACTGATGCCTCACGCCCGGGCAAGGTTGCTGTCTGCCTGAAGAGTAGATAAAGTTCATCACCACCGATCCCCATTATTTTTTCATGAAAATCACCGGGGGAAATGATACTCTTTATTACAGAAACTGGGCGCTCCTTTGTCTCCTGCCTGAAGGTTTAGCTCTCTTTGTACTCTTGTTCTGCAGAGGTTCTGATTTAATGAGCGGAGTGCCTCTGCTCTGTGCTATTACAGCAATCTGAGACTCCTTTAAAGTCGTGGTTGCACCACCCAGAATGCTGGGATTTGTAGTTCGCAGACCCATTCAGAGGTCCCATCCCCCCTACATTACAGCTGGGAATCCTTCCATTACAGATAAGGCTGCTGAATAGCTCAGGGGTTTAGGAATCTGTCTGTTGAGCCGGAGGTTGGGGGGTTTGATTCCCCCACTGGGCTTCCTTGACAACCGGAGGTTGGGGGGTTCGATTCCCCCACTGGGCTTCCTTGACAGGGGTTGGACTGGATGACCCTCAGGGTCCCTTCTAGCCATGCTGTTCTAAAATGAGGAGGAAGATGGTCTCATAGCCATGCCGTTCTAAAATGAGGAGGAAGATGGTCTCAAAAGTCTGCAAAAGGGAGCCATAGCAGTGGCTACGTGGTAGCCAGAAAGGGGAGATAAGATGTGAGTCTTTAAGGGGTTTTTGTGGGGAGAAGGGAGTCTCTTTGAAAGCGAAGGCTGGAACCGACTGCTCAAGCTTTGGGAAGCTTCTTTTAAAAAATTTTGTTCAACTACAACTCCCAAAATTCTCCAGCACCCAATTCTTTTAAGTTCCTGAGGCAAAACATGCCAATAGTTCAAGACATTGGCAGCCTCTGAGGGTGAGGAAGGATACTATAAATAAGTGTATGCTTATTGTGATTAGATTTAAATATTGTCTTTTAATGATGTCCACCCATTTTGTATCTTCATGGTTTTTAGCTCTAACTATCGTCTGTTAATGATGTAAGCCACCTTGGGTCCTTTTAAAGGAGAAAAACAGGGTGAAAACGATTTTAAAGGGAAGGAGATAATAAAATCAATAATTCTAGTCACCCAGAGCAAGAGCTGGCAGGATATTGGGATGCAGAAATAGCCATTTCTCTGCACCAGCCGGCTCTGATTTGTGGGCTCGAAGCTGCAAATCAACACCCCAGCGAGTTTTTTAAATTTATTCCTGCTTTTCCTAAACCTTAAAAAAAGAGAGAGAGAGCACCTTCTCAACGGTGAAAAAGACTGAGCACTGCATCTCCCGCTATATCTCATCCTCAAGGTTAGAAGGCACAGTGAAAATGCAAGGATGGGACTGAAATACGGGCATCCGAAAAAATCCAGATGGTCCCGGCCTAGCTCAGGGAGGAAGGAGATCAGCTGCTGCCCTGGGAGGAACTCATGGTAGTTCCTTTTTCTGGACTACAATGCCCAAAATCCCCCTGGCGAGGAAAGCTTGGTCCTTTGGCTGCTTTCGAATCCCTCCCGCCAGAAGCTCATGAAAGTAAAAGCTCACCCTGAAGGAGATTTCAAAAGATTCGGCGCTGAGCCAAATCACTTTAGTTTTGGTTTTCATCATCATCATCATTTTAGAATTGTGGAGCTGTAAGGGACCTGTGGGATCATGGAGTCCTGTCCCGGTCAGGGTGGGTGGGAATCGAACTCCCAACCTCTGGCTCTGCAGGCAGATGCCTCAACCACTGAGCTATCCAGGTTACGGAGGAGGTGCGAGCAGAAGACCCCCAGGTCTTGATATGGAAAGGTTGTGAAAATAAATTGGGAAGAGCCATACGTTGGAGGATATAAATGAACTAGTGCATCTGTGAATGTAAAGGCGTCAGCAGCTCTCGAAGGTTTCGACCTCTGGGCTGTCCAGTTAAGGATAGGAATGAACAGAGCTTGCTATCTCAGAAAAAAGGAGGAAGGAAGGAAGACTAAGAGTACCAATCCGACCAGAGACAGGCAGGATTTTTAAGACCGCCAAAGACTGACCGTTCCTTGGGTTAAACAGACCAGCGCTGCTGTTTTGACGACCAGGAGTTAATCAGGGATGGCCCCGATAGCTGGGGTGCTCCTTGACTCTTGGAATGAGGTTCCCCCCCCCAAAAAAAACAGATGCCACCCTTTGGCTGAATGGAAGGGGGTATTTGTGTGTGTGTGTGTCTAGAAAAAAGAGGCAGAAACAGACAGAGGAAAAGGTTGGAGCAAAGAAACTGTAATAAATAAATAAAAGGGGGGGAAACGCAGCAGGTGTTAGAAAGCTGGAGATGACAAACAGGGCGTAAGTGTGGCTAGCGGTGCCTTGGGAACTATTCTGGCTTGTCTAAGCACCTGTTTTTCCTCCATTTAAGCTCTGCTTTGTAAACAAAACTCATATTTCAGCAATGCGGCAAAGCAGGAGTGTTCTCGGAGAGGAAATTAAACCCAGCAACGTCTCTCTTATCTTTCTTCATAGGCACAGGGCAGTGAGGAACGTGCTTTAAGCCGTGCGTTAAGACAACAGGTTTTTCCTGCGTGCGGTTGTCGCAGCTTCTTTCTAGTGTGGATACCGTTCCCCTGACTTTCAGCATGGGGGGGTGTGCTAGTGTTGTGGGATGGCGCATCAGGAGCGAAACGGGGGCTTTCTTTGAAGGGCTGCTGGCTTCGGAACGAAGCTTTGAAGGAATGGTGTATCTAGAGGGAAAATGTAATGGAAGAACTTGGCTCATTTTTCTTAATGTGCAATTTGACCCTGGTAAAAACACCTAGCGTTGCAAGAGTGAGAAAAGTCTCTTGGTTTATATGCTACTTTTTCATTTAGGGAGGTCAAAGCAGCATACAAGATGCTGCTCCTCTCCCAAACCATACAATAGGACTCTCGTATAGCGATATAACACTCATGTTAATGAAATATTTGGTGCCAACCCAAGAGAGGGCCTTTTTGGTGGCTGCTCACAGCCTGTGGAACTTCCTTCCACTGGAGACCAGGCTGGCTTCCTCCCTGCTGTTCTGCAGGCGTTTAATTGCTAAAATCCAGCAGTATGTTACAACTAGGATAGGAGAGTTGAATCAGTGAGGATTTGGCTTATCACATCCTCTGTAAGTTCTTTTGCTTAGTTTTTCTTGTTGTTGAGTCGTTAAGTCGTGTCCGACTCTTCGTGACCCCATGGACCAGAGCACGCCAGGCCCTCCTGTCTTCCACTACCTCCCGGAGTTGGGTCAAATTCATGTTCGTCGCTTGGATGACCCTGTCCAGCCATCTCGTCCTCTGACGTCCCCTTCTCCTCTTGGTTTCACACTTTCCCAACATCAGGGTCTTTTCCAGGGAATCTTCTCTTCTCATGAGATGGCCAAAGTCTTGGAGCCTCAGCGTCAGGATCTGTCCTTCCAGTGAGCACTCAGGGTTGATTTCCTTCAGAATGGATCGGTTTGTTCTCCTTGCAGTCCAGGGGACTCTCAAGAGTTTCCTCCAGCACCACAATTCAAAAGCATCAATTCTTCGGCGGTCGGACTTCTTTATGGTCCAGCTCTCACTTCCATACATTGCTACTGGAAAAAACCATAGCTTTTACTATGCGGACCTTTGTCGGCAAGGTGAAGTCTCTGCTTAAGGCTGGATATAGACATATATGAATAAACATGAAGAACAAGACATACTTTTTTAAAAAATATGAGTGGTTGCCTGCTTTTGACATTGTCTCCAGCGATGCATCTCCTCTCTCCTATTTTTCCCTAAGTGGTTCGCCTTGCTTTCCTCTAAAGTGTCACAGACACTCTTCAAAGCCTCTTTAATTCGTGGGGGGAAATCTGTGTATTGTTCTCCCTCCCACGGCACTGCCAGAAAAGCTTTCTGCTGCCAGTCTGTTTTTGAGGTGCTTCTCGGCTGCTTTCCCACCTTGATTTCTTCTTACACACCACCTTTCCACTTTGTTCCTTTCCTCCTCCTCCACCCCCCCCCGAACTCACCCAGCAGCAATTAGCCTCATCTCTGTGGAAGACAAATAAACTAGAAATGCAAGAGAGAAGAGAAGTCGGAGAGGTCCGACTGGCACAGGAAGTCCTTATTCCTGTTAACATTGTACTTTCTCTTCTGCTTGCTTCCTTCTGGCAGCCGCTGACTCAAGGCGGGCAACCTCAGGTGATGTAGACCCCCCATCTCAGGTTCTTGGAGGACTACAGCTGCTTCTGTAACCCCTTAGGAGGAAGAAAAAAAATCAGCTTTTTTTGTAAGGAAAAATGTATTGACCACTAGAGGGCAGAAGAGAGCTCTTGTTTTAAAAGGATGGCGCTTCTGCCTGCCCTCTACTGGTCAATATATATATATATATATATTAAAAGGTTAAAGTTTGGGGAGACTTTGACCCAAGCGGTTGGGAACCCCGCAAAATGTGCCAAGGTTGCCCCTGCACATCACAAGGGGACCTTTTGATCCTTTAAAAAATAAATTTGGGAGGGAAGGAGATGTTGAGGGGCAGCCTTCTGCTACCCCAGCTACATACCCTCCCTTTGCTGGCTTAACATCTCCAGTAGAGAGAGCTTTTAACTATCATTGGATAGTTGGGGAAGTTCTATTAAGGACTACAACTCCCAGAATCCCCCCACCAGCCTGGCAAAATGGAGTTATTGTCTGAAAGAGTAATTTTCCCCCATCACTGTATTTTTGGATGGGAAGCCAGCAGTATGTCGTCCTCCTTTTAAAAAGTTACTTGTTCAAGTCCTGCTGATCACATCCTTTCATAGGTAATCATCATCATTATCATCATTTTAGAACTGCTGGAAAGGACCCTATGGATCATGGATAACATTGGTCAAGTAGAACCTTTTCATATTTCATTTTATAAAATTTTAGCCATATTTGAAAGGATCCTATGGATAACATTGGTCAAATCGAACCTTTTCAAATTTCATTTTATAAAATTTTAGCCATATTTTTGTTCTTGTGGCCAGGCTGGGCTGGTTGGGGGATCCAGTTTTTTGAGTGCTTCAAATCCACTCCATGTTTTACCATGCACTTTACGCAAGTTGTTCTAGGCGTTGGATCAGCATTGTGGATAGCTGCTGTACAGTGCAGACAAAAACCAGGGGCGGATTCTGAACACCTCTGAAATGGGAGTTCACTGCTCAACCATTGCAGCCAAGCCTTTCTCTACAAATCCATTTTTTCTCCAAAGTCAGGGATGCAACATGGAATCTTAGAACTACCTTTTAATATCTTCTTGGCCAGGCTCTAGGAGATGATGAGGATGATGATCACCCTCTTAGAACCGTGGACCTGGAAGGGGTCCTATGGATCATTAAGTCCGGCCCCTGTTAGGGAGGCCCAGTGGGGGGAATCGAACTGCCAAACTCTATCTCCCTGGAAAGCTATCCATCTTTTGGGAGAATATATCGGCAAAAGCTTTTAATGGGGCTTTGGAAATACAGGGTTCCATTTCTCCCGACCTCACAGGGTTGTCGTGAGGATGAACTGGGAGGAAGAGAACCAGGTATGTGTGATCCAGCCAGGGAATCTCTAACTCCCAGTTGTTTTCCATTCCCGTTCTGGGTGGGAGGTGGAGTGCAACGTGATGATTGAAGAGGCAAATGGGGGACAACTGTTCCCCCCTCCCCATTTTTAACAGAAGCCAGCGCTCTGCCTCTTCAGGGATGTCAGCCATACAATGGCCTCTAATGAGGTCTCAGGCTTGGCAGAGGTGTACAGGGGAGGTTGTGTCAATAGTTCGTTAAGGAAGCTTTAAAAAAAAATCTTAAAAAACAGTTGGAAAGCTACAAAGTGAGGCTCCATAGGTAATGGTGTGGCTGTAGAGTTAATGATGTCTGTGCAAGGATGAGCCAGCTAAGGGGGCATGATTATTGTCATCCAGGAAAAGTAGCAATCCAATTTAGCAGCTTGGTTTCTTCTGCTCGGAGATCTGGGGAGTTCTCACATTAATTTCTTTCCCCCGTCAATTTTCATGGAGGATCGAGATCTACCGTGGACACCAGACCTGTTTCCAATAGTTGATGAGCACCGTTGTTTAGGAAGGCATGAGGAAGGGCCACACAGCCCTGGGAGGAGGGAGCAACTGAGCATAGGCAGGAAAGAGGATGCTAATATTTGCAAACATTCAAAATTATCTTGGAAAAAAATGAAAGTGAAAGGGCATTATTGGCTGTCAGGAAATCATTGATAAGAATGGAGTAGTCTCGAAGAGGGGGTGGCCGGCACTCTGGACTGGAAAAGGGCATGATGGGTCAGGATCAATGAACATGCTTTTTGGGATGATCTCTTAGTTAGCATGGCTGTTGGGTGTTGTAGTCCCCAAGAGTCACCTTGATAAGCTCTGGGGTAGCATCCTTTTATGGATATGATCTTGGAGACCAGCTGAGGCATTCTGACAGGCTCAACATGGACACCCAAAAAAGAAGACATAGGAATTATATATTTACACCAACAGTGGATAAACAATCCTGGAAATGTCCAAGGGGGCAACCAACCACCAACCAACCAACCAACCAACCAACCAAACCAACCAAACCAACCAAACCAACCAACCAACCCAACCAACCCAACCAACCAACCAACCAACCAACCAAAGAAAGAGGTCATGTCTGTATCTATAGGGACTTAGAGAGGGCAGGGAATTCATGGTCCAGATGTTAGACTACAAGTACCATCATCCCTACACTATTATGTTCGTTGTTGACACTAGAACCCATTTGATGGATAGAAGAAAAGGAATATGATTATTTTGGCTGACAGACTTTTGGCTGAAAGGACATTTTGTCCTTTCTCTTGGAAATTGAAACTGCCTGCCACAACCCGGCCTTTTCCTGATTCATGCAAATCCCCAAACCTGATCCCTATTTTGGCTGGGGATGATGGGGTTTGTAACTTGGAAAGTGCCAGATGGGGGAAAGCTGTCTTTAAACCACGAGTTCTAAAAATCTATCCAATTAAGTTTCACCCGGATCGACTGTGTGTCTCCTCTTCCTGCTTCTATTAAATACCAAAGTGTGGTGTTTTGAAAAACTGGGATAAAAGCTGAAAAATTCCATGCGCGGTGCATTAAAAATAGCCATAAAGACAACTAAAATACACTCTCTTTACACCCAGAATAAAGGATCACATAGCCATCGTTGGCTGCTTTTAAAAGGTAGCTCCTTTATGTCCTCCTTATTAAAAAGAGGCAATTAAACTGCTTTAATTCATGGCTTCTCCTGCATGCACAGAGATGAGCTTTTAACATCCCTTCCCTCCACCCTCCTCATTTTTGCCTCCCTTGTGCAATCTGGCCTTCCTTCTGCCTGTGTTCCCCCCCCCGCCTCCCCATCTGTCTGACCTTTCCCCAGGATCCTTCCTGAAATGGCAAGGTACAAGATCCATGTGTTAACCCCGAGAGTGCAATCCTAATAGCCTGCAGAGCCCTGTGTAGGAAGCGAGGGCCGGGTGGGTGGAAGGCAGCAGTGAGGGTTGGCTGACAAAAACAGGAGAGAAGTTCAGGGAACCGGCTGGAGGGAAGCTGCACAGCAATCCGCGCTGTCAAGGAGGAGGGGGGAAAGAAAGAGACACAGCGCTATGCAACACCCTCTCATTCAACCCCCAGCTTCTCTCCTTCTGCATTTCACGCCTCGCAAGAGCGCCAGACTCCCCGTAGACCGTTAGCCAAAGGATTCGGCTTGCTCTTCCTGGGAAAACTTTAGGAGGAAGGATCTTTGCTTCCCGGCCTTGCAGGAGAGAACAGAGAAAGGGGGAACGGAAGGGAGATGCAGAAGGACTTTCTCCCCTACCCCGAAAGGATCGATGGATGAACCTTGACCAAGACCAGAGCGGAGAGGGTGAAGAACCTTGAAGGCTGACGTGACTCCCAAGACTTCTTTAGAATTCTGGCAGGACAAGGATGGGGTGGGAAGTCTGGGAGAAGCCTTCACCCCACCAAGTGTGGAAGAGTAGCCACAGAAATACAGATAGTAAGGACTCCTTCCTTTCCTACTAGACTTCCACGGCGTCCGTCTCTGGAGATAACCCAGTCCAGTTGGTCCAACCGGAGCATCTTCATCAACTCTTGGTGGGGGACCTCCGAGACCATCCTCTCCATCTTTGTTCCACCAAGCCCGTGGATGGCTGGTTCTTCTCTAAAGGAGTGTGGAGAACGTCTCCTCTGGATCTGAGCCCCTAAACCTTGCTTCCGAGCAGTGGCCGGGCTGCAGAACCAAAGCTACTTTGCCTGCGATTGAAACACAAACGGGAGCGTTTCAATCCGGAGGGGAGGAAAAAGAAGGGAGGAGAGAATTGGGAAAGGACAGTAGAAGGCAGCGGACACCCTTCGCTGAATGTTCTTTGACCATGTCTGACCCAGAGATGGACGACTACGATGCGGACAACCTGCCGGACGCCTGGGGGAGGATCCCTGGGCTGCCCCCTTACAACATGGAAGACCAGCTCCTGCCGATGGAGCGGAGGAGCCCCTGCGGGTGTGTGGCCTGGGCGTGTCTTGTCGCGATGATGAACGTTGTGGTCTTCCTCTTGAACGTCCTCTTGTTGGCCACCATCTTCCTGGTGGTCCTTCTGCCCACCATCGTGGTGGCCTATTTTGGGTTCCAGTGCCATTCGCGGGTAAGTGTCGTGCCAGCAGCTGAAGGAAGTTCAAAATGCCTACCGATAAGATGAGAAGGGTAAGGGGGAAAGAGGCACTCTGTGCACCCTCAGAGGCACTGCCACTGGTGTTTTCCCCACCCCCTTTGTTTTCAAGAAGAGTCTGAAGTAGAATCTCAGGGTTATTCCTTATAATAATAAGAACCTCAGAATGGCACAGCTGGAAGGGACCCTGTGGATCATCCAGTCCAGCCCCTGTCAAGGAGACATGGTGGGGAATTCGAACTCCCAACCTCTGGCTTCACAGCCGGAGACCTAAATCACTGAGCTATCCAGCAGGTCTTCTTATTTATTTATTGGTTTCTTTTCTAGACTGCCATTCCCTTGGTGAGGGGGCAGCTTAACCTCAGAATGGCAGAGCTGGAAGGGACCCTGTGGATCATCCAGTCCAGCCCCTGTCAAGGAGACATGGTGGGGAATTCGAACTCCCAACCTCTGGCTTCACAGCCGGAGACCTAAATCACTGAGCTATCCAGCAGGTCTTCTTATTTATTTATTGGTTTCTTTTCTAGACTGCCATTCCCTTGGTGAGGGGGCAGCTCCAGGTTTATCCTAAAGAGACACAGAGAAACAGTGTTGTGTAGTGGTTAGAGTCCTGGACTGGTACTTAGGCGACCTAAGATCCAAGACCCCATTGAGTCCAGAAAGTGACCGGGTGAGCCTGGTTCAGTGGCTTTCTCTCTGCTTGAGCCGCCTCACAGGGCTGTTGCAAGAAAAGACCAGAAAGGAGGAGAGTTGATTCTGAACCCTTCAGCTCACTAGAAGAAAAGCATGCCAGAAATGTAACTTGCAATCTAGTGGTGGGGAGTTCCAATGACAGCGTCTCAATTCATCGCCCGCAAAAAGAAAAACCCTGGAAGGTTGACAGGTGGTTTTCTTTTTTCAATTATTTCTTTTTTTCTTTTTTTTTTAAAAATACAGTCTACCTCTACATTGTAGCCTCTGCCAAGGCTAAAATTGAGCTTTGAGTAATCCGTGTGTTTAATGCCAGCGGTGCCCTTTACTGCTTTGAGACTTTGCATAGAAGTGTTTGAACGATACATACCAATAAACCTACATGCATGTTAAGTGTGGGAATGATTAGGCCCTCAGATAAACAGGTCTAACCTTAAAGCAGTGATAACATCCCCGCCAATACATCACGCTCCTTGGGACCCCAGCTTCTTGCCTCCAAAAATATAAACATGACCACAGTAAATTTATTTCTGCATTTGGTTGGATGCCAAACGGTGCAGTTCCAAAGTGCCACTTTGTCTATGTGGATCTGGGATTCCCTGTGTGGTGTAACGAAGATCGAGTGGTGGGTTTGGACTCTGGGGAACTGGGTTCAAATCCCCTCTCAGCCATGGACGTGAATCTGGGATTCCCTGTGTGTTGTAGCAAGGAATCAAGTGCTGGGCTCGGACTCTGGGGAACTGAGTTCGAATCCCCTCTCAGCCATGGAAACAGACCGGGAAAGTGGAATTGGTAAAACCACTCCTTAAATATCTCCCTTCCCTTGAAAGCCCTGTTTAGGGTTCCTATAAATCAGTTCTGACTTTACTGAACCCATGAAATCTCCTTCAGGGACAGGTTTCAGCACCCCGGACAGCTCTTCATAGGGAGAAACAAACTTGAGCTGTTTTTATCTCCACCCAAAGCCAGGTCTTTTGTAGAGCTAATGCATTCTGATTGCCCTTTTCAAACCAACGTCCCTCCAGTTTCTCCAAGTTAGAACAGAGAAGGCTCATGGACCTCTAAGCCTCACCTCCACCTCAATTTACTAATTTAGTAATAGCCGCAAAGCTCAGATTGAATTAGGGTACCTGTGGAGCATGGGGATAGATGCCAAAAGTCATCCAAGCTGAAGAAACAGCCCTGGTTGTTCCCACAGTGAGAGCCCGGAGTCCATGACACCACAAAACCAAGTCTTCTAGGAATATTTTGCTTCTCCTCCGAAAATTCTAACTCTGCGAAGGGGGACGAAGAAATCTAAGCCCGGAGAGTGGTCCCGTCTAAGGGAACCAAGCAAAATATAAAATCTGAGTCTTAATTCCATGCAACACATCCCATTTCCACCTCAAATTATTCTGGGATCATAACAAAACCCCCGACAGCCGTCTGAATTAAGGTGGCTTTCCTTCTGGCAGACGAGCGTTTCCACCATCGCTCACTCAGTGCCTCTTTTTTTATAATGTTATTGTCACAATATTTCTATCTCCCTCGGCATCTCCACGGTTGCCAGCTGCCGCCTGCCTTTGTCTACCTTTGCCGACAGCGATGGAAACCTGTCTAATTTGATTTTAATTAAGGCGGCTCCCTGCTTAGACACAAGCTTTTGCCATTTTTGTGTATCAGAAGGAAAAGCCCCTCGTGTACCCAAGGGTTGGGGGAAAGGAACCCCAGCAGCAGCCAGAAGAGAAATTAAATCAATACTATATTGGGGGCTTTGACTTAGAGAATGCCACAAACCCGCTTTCCAACAGCTGCTGGACACCCATTGGTTTATTCAAACATACAAAATCGTTGTGGATCCTACAGATCGGCCACCCTCGGACGCCTTGCCTCCTAAACAGTTAAATAGATGCCCAATTACTTTTCTTCCTAGGGGGGTGTTGGTGCTTTTTAAAAACTCCAGTTTCATCGTAGAATCCTACAGCCATGGAGTCGGAAGGGGACCTCGAAGGCCATCCAGTCCAACCCCGCCCCCTGCTCAAGGCAGGAATCCTAACCAAAGCAGATCGGACAGAGGGCGGCCCCGTTTTCTCTTGAGCACTTCCAGCATTGGGGCGCTCTCCACCTCCCGAGGTCATGGGTTCTGTTATCGTACTTCTCTTACAGCTGAGAAGTTTTTTTCCTGATATTCAGGCACAATCTGGCTTCGTGGAGCTTCAGCCCGTTCTTGCGTGTCCTGCACTCTGGGAGGATCGAGAACAGATCCTGCCCCTCCTCTGTAGGACTAGTATTTGAAAATTGTTATCCTATCACCCCTCTGTCTTCTTTTCACAAGGCTAAACAGTCTTGCTTCAGTCTTGATTCTCTGAAACCTGCGAGTTGGGGAGATTTCCTCAGTTTTCCTAGCTCTCCGCCATCCCATACAGATCTGTTTTTTTTCCCTCTGGAGCTGGTGCCCATTCTACAATAATGGGGAAATTCATCATCCACAGCCTTCTCCTTTTTCCCCCCACTGCCTCCTGAATTGACTGAGAAGCCTCCGTGGCGAAAGAGCTTCAAACCGACTTAATTAAGAGGGACTGTTTGAAGTACTAAATCAGTCCCAGATCTCAGCACTCCTCTGGAATTGAGGAGATAAATATTAAAGGAAGAACGCCGTTTCCTAAGCGCCCCCCAAGCGCCTCCAAAACAACCCCCTCGAATGCCGTACGAACTCGGGGAAAATTAATTGCAAATTGATTTTCTCCACCGGATGCTTCGCTTCCGAGATAGTTGTCACGATTTTCATCCAACGCCATCCAGTTGCCCACTGAGGAGGCAAATTGTTCGCGAATACATCAAATTGTTCCCCTTAGCCTTTTAGGGACCTCACCAGATAATAAGATGATGAAAACAGATGTCTGCCTTTGAGACTCTGTGGAGAGCCCACGAGGTTGTGGTGTGTGCTGTTAGTTCTCCATTTAAGCAGTATTTTCCTCACACATTCCTCAGCCGGCCATTGTGGGTGGAACACAGGCTGATACAAAATGGCGGGCAATCTTTTGATTTCCATTATTTTACTTATTTCTTATGATGTCCGGGAAGGCTTCCCGAAATCTTCTCACCCACATCTCCTGGCTCTAATGTCAGCATTTTAACTGTCCTTGCTATGTAGATTCAATAGAATCAATCCAGAGTTGGTCTGAACCGGAAGGGACCCCCTGAAACCATTGGGATTTACTACCGTTAAAGAATAGTATGTGTCACAAGTAATACAGGATCCATTGATTTCAATGGGTTTCATTTAAGGTATTGAGTTCAATGTAGTAGACCCTTTGCAATGAATGGGATGTTTTAGCCCACGTTGGTTGACCAGTCTATTCCAAATTTCATCATTAGGTGATGCAGATAGCATGCCTTTTAAAGCAGGAATTCCTTAAGTGCTCAAGGATGTCTGGTTATCATAGCTTTTCCCAGCTTCCCGTAGTTTGCAAATCCGGTGTGGTTGGTTTCTGATGGGTCTTTGGGAACTAATTCCAGCTTTTGCTTACCAGCGTGATTGCTCATCTTTGAAGCTCTTCCAGAATCATCTCTCTAGAACACTAGCATACTTTCTGCTTCTAATGATGTTTCTATCAATAAGGTGCAGTTTGATGTAAAATGGGATCTTTCTGATACATTTGGAACGGTCTTTGAAGAACTTCTAGTATACATTTCTGCCAATTCCGTGAGCGACATCCAGAGCTAGCCCATTCCCAAAATCTGGCTGTCCGTCCTTTGTTTGAGGTCGTTGGCCGAACTAGGAAATAATTTGTTACGAACTAATCTATCCAGGCTAATTCATTTTAAAAGTCACATTTAACATCTTGAAATGCCAATAGCTAAACCAACTATGACTCCGAACTAGATTTGAGTAGGAGAGACCCGCTCACATGTTAAATCAGCATTTACCCAAGTCCTCTTGATCCTCTCTTCCATGCCAGCAGTGCATTTAACCCTGCTACACTAACAGGCCGAAAAATGATAAATATCTTGTGCTCGTATTCAACCAGTGGCAAAAATGATTCAGATTATTTGTTAGCACCAACATTTTCTTAACATTGGCAGGCCTTGAACTCGGAGCCCTTTCCACGAAGTTGTTCGCTGCCAGGGTTCCAGAGAGCAAGCAACCCTACCGGTGGTTTTACGCTCTAATTACCATTGAGTTCAAAGTTCGGAAAAGCAAACTTCTCTCTCCCGGCTAGTGCTCTCTTTCCATTTATCACTTTGGCTCTAAAAGCATTTTCCCCAGGCTTGGCAGAAGGAGCTTTTTGGGGGGGGGGTGTTTGCAGATGTGGGCTGTTCTTTTGTCGGCTGAGTGCTCTCAAAACCCAATGTTCAGTTGATTTTTCAAATGCATGACACAGGCGGGAGGGAGAAAGCTTTCATGACTTTGCTTGATGCATCCATTCTCTTACTAATGGCCCGATTAAGCAGCTCTGAAATTTTGGGCTGCAACATTTGTATAGTGCTTCTCTCTCTCTCTCTCTCTCTCCTGAAGAGTGCTTTTCTCTCTCTCTCCTTTGATTCACACACACATCTATTTTTCCAATCCAGCTCGGAAAGGACGACAGATCCCATAATTCTCCATTCTGGAAGTTCTGCCCAACAGACACCTTTCAGACACCAAGATGTGCCTAGATCCTCCAGACTTCCTGTTCAGAAGGAAAGCTCCCAGCTAGCACTGGGGCAGGAAGAGGAAGCTTGGGTGGAGCTAGGCCGAGCTCAGCCTCAGCTCAACCTGGGTTTGCTTTTGTTTTTAAGGGTCTTGATCTTGCTTTCCATAAATACGAACCGTGAGCGCTGGCACATCAGACGAGTTTTCTAATAGCAGCATTCGCCCACGGCCGTCTGGTTCCACCCGGATGAACCACGCAGCATTTTGCCAACGATGCATCCTGCCACAAGCCAGCTTCTTCTTTCCAACACACTGATAAAATGTCAGGACCATTTCTCCGATCGATTGATCCTTAATTATAAGGGGAGGAGACAGGAGGCATGGCGTTGCTCAATAGCATTTACAGTCTCTTCAAACACTTCACAGCATGGACATACTGGTGGCTAGCATGGGATTTTGTTTTAACTATATGGACTATACATCCTTTAGTTCCCCATTGTGGGAATTCTACTTGAGTTATATCCCACCTAACTGTGGCTCACTTGTATGGACTATAAATCCTTTAGCTCCCCATTGTGGGAATTCTACTTGAGTTATATCCCACCTAACTGTGGCTCACTTGGTGGGAAGGGACTAACCTGGACACCATTAAAGATTTACTAGGCCTAGCTCTGCCTCAGCTTCCTCTTCCTGTTCCAGTGGGAAACAGGAAGCTAGGCCGAGCTAAGCCTCAAAGCATTCCAGTTTATGCCTTTTCTCCCAGGGGAGCCATATTGAGGTGTTTGTCTTTCAGGTAAAACTCCCAGAATGGAGAATTATGGGATTTGTAGTCCAAGAAATTAAAAAAAATCCCATCTCTGCTGGTGTCATGTGAGGAGGAATTTAATTCTGGACAGGATTGGGAGAACCAAGGAATAATTGCAACCAAATGACACCAGTGAATTTCACAGAATCATAGAATAATGGAGCAGGGAGGGGCCTATAATTTATTTATTATTTTATTATTATTTGATTTATTTGATTTTTACCCCGCCCCTCTAGACAACGTCTACTCGGGGCGGCTTACATAGATTAAAACACATGAAAATAACATATATAAAAATACAATTCTTACAATTAATTCTTACAATTAAATCTATAAGGCGGTTGAATCTAAAACCTTGCTAAATACAGGAATCCAAATTAATGCAGGTTCGAGCAGCTGCTAGTAAGATCAGACAATACTAGGCCAGGTGTGAAGATAATTTGATTTGGTATAAAGAAGCCAACAGTATCACATCTATTGGTTCATTTATTTGGCTTCTACCCAGACTTTTGCCCTGCAGAGATACCCATTCCTCTGTTCTCTGCTCCCCCCTCAACAATCTCAACAGAAAACTTATTTTTGGGGAGGACTTGAAAGCTCTCAGAATGTCCCTGCCAGCAGGAGCAGCAAGGACAGCATGAAAAATATAGCAGAGAATCTGGTGCCTTGAAGTTCATTTCCTCAGTCACGCAGGAGAAACTGATAGCTGGAGGACTGATCAGGACCTTGGACAGCTCACCAGTTGAAGGCGTTGCTCCCTGTAACAAGAAGAGCTGCTGCTTCAGCAGAGTCCAAGGATCTGTTTCGAGTTTATAAAGGCAATAGCATTGGCCACCTCGACGGCATGGAAGGTGCCTTGATCTTAAACAGAGCTAAGAACGTTACTTTTTATTTTATTATATTTGGACCACATGTCTTAGACTCTCCCCGCCGGAGGCTGTTCGGATCTTAAACGGCTGTTGTTCAGTTGGATCTATATTTGAATTCTTTCTAGGAAGTTTAAATATTTTTCCCCTTGGATAATTTGTTCAGGAGTTACACTAGAGTAGTGCCTCTCAGCCTTGGGTCACCCAGATGTTCTTGGACTACAACTCCCAGAAATCCTGGCCAGCACCGCTAGTGGTGAAGGCTTCTGGGAGCTTTAGTTCAAGACCATCTGGAGACCCAAGGTTGAGAACCACAAGACTAGAGGACGATAGGTCTGAGCCCACCAATCACAGGTTTCCAACTCCTGTTGAATCATCTTCCTCCTCCTCTGTTGCCCATTCCCTAAACTGAAAAATTATTGAGCATTGTTTTGCTGACCCCAAACCCCCAATTGTTTAGAAATAGGGGCACCCTCTTTCATCTCAGTCTTCTCCCATCTGCTCCCTTCTGGATAGGTTGGGGTACAACTCCCATCATCCCCACCCACTGTTGTTGACTTGGGGATAATGGGAGTGGTAGTGCCATACCACTGGAGGGCGCTAGGTTGGGGAGGATGGCTTTCTTGCATCCTTTAAAGCAGTGGTCCCCAACCTTGGGCCTCGAGATGTTCTTGGACTTCAACTCTCAGAAATCTTGGCCAGCAGGGGTGGTGGTGAAGGCTTCTGGGAGTTGTAGTCCAAGAACATCTGGAGGCCCAAAGTTGGGGACCACTGCTTTAAAGTACTCTGACCCTGCGTTTGATGCTGACAAATGGAAAGAAAAAAGTTCAGTTGACCAAAGGAGCAATGAGGCCATCAGGGCAAGATCCAAGGGTGGATGCCGAGGCCCCCTTCTACCGAATGAGTAGGAGGGATCCCCGAACATGATAAGCCTGTCTCATCATGTTTGGAAGCAAGTGAGACAATACTCATCACCACGAGAGACAGATCACAGAAGGCAGGTGAAGGCCATAATGCCCAGGGTTGGAAATTCTTCCACTGTACTACTATAAATGGAAAAATTTCTAGCTCCACTAGGATAGGTTACTCCGAGGAGATCAAGCATAGAAAAGGCAACGGAGGAAGGCCAGTAAGCAAAGGAGAGCTAAGCAAAAGTTGGAGATAAACAAGTGTTATTCTAGAGGGCTCAGGAAATCTGTTTCAGAGCCCTGCTTAATTCCACCGGCAGAACGGTTTTTCAAGGATCTTATAACTCTGCCACCCTGATTGACACCATCCCGCTTTGAACCACCATGGGGCTCCTTCTGCAGGAGGTCTTGTGAAGCGAACTGGGAACGGCAGCTGGGCCGGTTTGCCCTTTCCCATCTCGGTGGGGTTTCTCTCTTTTTTTGCCGAGGTGTTTTGATCCAGCTTGGTCAGGCTAATAAGGGGAAGGCAAAGCCCACCGGAAGGCTTTTGAAACCAGCGGGCTCCATATTAACGTCTGCCCCTCTGTTCTCGGCTCTTTTAAAAAAGGGCAACGCAGAGATGCTGCTGAGATCTCCTGTCAAAGAGGAAAGATCTTAAAAGTTGGTTTTCCAAGTAAACAATACCAAACAGCTTTCATAGTATCATAGAACAATTAAGTGGGAAGAGGCCTCTAAGGCCATCGAGTTCCACCTTCCCGCTCAAGGCAGGAATCCAAATCAAAACAGATCTGACAGAGGGTGGTCCCATTTTCTCTCCAAGGCCTCTAAGCTTTCGTTAGGTACTGAGGCACCCCTTTAGAGCTGATCCGGGAAAGAACAGAACCAGCCTTTCGAAACACACCTCTGCATCCACTCGAGTTTTCAACACTGTTTGACTTCTTCTCTTGTTTCATTTTACAGCCAATTCTAATCTAAATAAATCCCCCCCAGCCCAAAAGGCTGAGTGATGTAGGAGGAAAACCCAACTGTGTCGGCCTTACCTGCAGGCTTGCCACTGACAGGGCACAACACGAAAGGAAAGTGGGATGAGGAGGGAAGAGGGCTGGAAACTCAACGCAAACATTAGGTGCTGAAAGTTATCCGATTCTGCGGATCCACCTGACTGACCTTTCTCCTCCTCCACCGCTTTAATCCTGTCTCCTCTCCCAGTTGCTAGCTGAGAGACATCACCCTGTCTTTGATCTTCCATGATAGACTGTGCCAGGTAGACCCCATCACATCACAGAATCATAGAACAATGGAGTTGGAAAGAGGCCTCTAAGGGCCATCAAGTCAAGCTCAAGGGTGATGTTGACCATCGTGGTGAAGGTCAACCCCATCCTTACTTTTTGTGTGCCCAACTCACCGCTTCCGTGTCTCTTTCCAGGTCCTCCACTCCACCGCCTCCTATTGCCAGACCATCCTGGATGACAACAGCTCTTCTGCCCTGATCATCCTCGGCTTCGTCATGATGTCCCCGCTCATCGTGGTGGCCATGGCTGTCTACTGCGGCCTGGTGAGGCGCCTCCACCTCTTCCTGTGCTTCCAGCCGTGCGCCAGAGCCGTGTACAAGGGGGTGAAGTGGAGGTGGTCTGAGGACGGCGGCCCGTGCGGGTGTCCCCGGGCGTGGAACCACCAGGTCAAAGCCTGGGTTTAAGCGGGGCCCTGCTCTTCTCTGCTTCTCCGACTCTCATTTTGAAGAAATAGCAGCAGAAGTGGAAACGGCAGGGAATCAAATATTTGCTGGTTGGTTTCTTTTCTCCAGAGGAAAAGCCCTGCCTAATGTTGACTCCATGATCTGCGACATCCCCTCCTTCTGTCTTTGCCTTGACCATCAACTCAGAAGCCAGCTGCTAGTCCCACTTCTTCAGGCGCCATGCCCACCGTATAATAATGTGCTTGTCCCACCTTGTCAGGTTGTTGTCGCGAGTTCACACGTGAAGATTTCTGAGCACTTTATTCAAAGGAAAGGTACGTCGTGATTCCGAAATGCAGTTATTCCCAGTGATTTTTCAGCTACCGTTTGGCAACTTGCTTCAAGCCATCTGTTTTTAAGTTTGAACATCTCTCTCTCTCTCTCTCAAATGAGCCAATTTACATTCCTGGTAACTTGGTCCTCAAAGCAGGCAATGAAAGACTTCGTTGCTTTTTTTTTCTTCTTCACATCTTCTCAGCTCTGGGTAGAAAAACCTCAAAGGAACCATTACGAAAAAGGAAGAATTCGCTCTCAAAGCGACATTGAGCATTAGAAATGCTCATGTCCCCTGTAATTTTCTTCTGGTGAAAGCAGACGTGTTTCTCCTCCAGACCCCCCAGGTTGGACTGAGGACCTGCTGAAATGGAGAAAAATCTCATTTGCGTTTTCCACCTTGTTCTGGGCCCTGATCCAGAAAAACAGGGGCGCCCGGCACTGCTCAGTTTGTTATGCCGTAAGAGCTTTCTCCTTTACCACGAAATGCAATTCATTATGTCCTGCAAAAGGAAGGGAGGAATCGTCTCTATTCGTTGACACCACTTCCGAAATAAAATTTCTAACATCAATTTCACTGTGCTCTCATTTCCCAAAAAGGGGAAAATAGAATCTGATGACCACCAACTCCATTTACTGTGAGCCGGTCCTGACAGACATCGGCAAGTGACAAACATAATCTCCGTGGGGACAGTTTGGATTGATTCCCACCACTATGGCAAGAGTGGCCTTGATTAAAATCATCCTCTCCCTTGCTACTGAAGATAATTTCATTTTAAAAAAGCTGGAGAGTTCTGAAGCAGAGGTGACCATACTTTGGACACTTAATGGAAAGATGAGACTCATGGGGGGGAGATCCATAATCCTAGAGGAAGTGGAAGGTAGTAGGAAAAGAGGAAGACTAAAGATGAGTTGGTTTGACCCAATCAAGGAAGCCATGGCCTTCAGTTTCCAAGAGCTGAGCAGGGCTAACAACACGATGTTCTGGAGGTTGCGCATTCATCGCTTCATCGTAAATCGGAAGCAACTCAATGGCACATCACATCAGCGTGGGGTTCCAGTTACGTCACTCAGTCAAAAAAAGAGCTTTCTGTCCTGCAATCAACACCAGCTCCTCAGTGTTACGTGTTTTATGCTATTCTGATACCTGTTCTGTACGACTGTGCCGACGGCTGCTATATATAACTTTCTGGGTCTGAGTTCCACCTGTACCATTTATACGCAACGCCTACTGTTCTTGCGATCCTTAGCTATAGATTAAAGGTTATTTTTTAAAATATCCATTTTACACGTTTATGGATTTCTCGTTCTTGTCTTCGGGCTTCTTTTCTTCTAAATTCAGTGCAAGTTTTCTAGATCTAAACACGAGAGACGTCCAAAACTCAATAGTCCAAATTTTAAAAAAACGCCCATTCAAACTGAGCTGAATTGAAGAGGGTTTGAAAATACATCAACTATATGGGCCAAGCAGGTCTCCCATGGTTGACCATGGCTGCATTTATCACATACATTTTTTCTTCACTCTGAGATCTTTTAACTTGCACTCCACATGCAAAAGAGCTGAATTTGGATTTATAAGCGGCAGGGATAAACTACAAGGTTACCCATCCTCCTTTCTCTCTTTTTAAAAATCAGATCTCTTAAGCTGACCAGGTTTAAAATGGCAGCTCAGAGAATGAGCAGAGACAGGAATCAAAGGGTGGCTGGCTTGGGTGGAGCCCCCTACAAAATGGCGGCTCATGTCAACACAGCCAGATCTAAAATGGTGGCTGGAGTGGGTAGAGCCAGCTACAAAATGGTGGCTGGAGTGAATGGAGGTCTAAAATAGTGGCTAGGGATAGGTGAAGCCAGCTACAAAATGGCGGCTTGGCAAAGACCCATTATTCTACTGCAAAGGTGGATCAGGGTCAGTGCAAGGAGGTGACAAATAAATCTATTTTTGTTGCTGTTGTCAAACAGCTGGGAGACACAACTCCTTTATTGATGACTTGTTAGTCATCCTGACACCCTGAGCCCAGTCTCCTGAGTTGTGAAACCCATAATATTTAGCACTGGGCCAGCTTAAGAGCAGTACATAGGCAAATTAGAGTGTTATGAATCTTTTTATAATCTCAAGGGGTCATGCTAGATGGAGGATTTTGGGAACTGTAGTCCTACCCCAACCCCAATCTTTCTGGGCTCTCTCTAATAGGACCTTAGCTTCTTGGTTTCCTTAGAACAGATCATGTTCAGCAAATCCAGAATCTGTTTCAGAATTTATCACCGTGTTCATTTGGTCTATCAACCGCCCCTTGATGGACGCAAGGCAATGCGGCTTTTCTGTCTGAGACGCTGGAGAAATGAGCCCTCCTTTGGCAGCCATCCATGTTAATAATGTTGGCTAAGATCTAATTTTCTCTTTTTATTTCTTTTTCTTTTTTTAAATATCATTGAGGAAATTGAAATTGCTAGGGCAGTGGCATTAAGCTGCTGTGGTGCAGCAAGAAGGCGAAATTAAATGGGATATCATTTCCTCTTTTAATCAGGTACGAGGAGGCTAAATGCCTTGATTATAACATTGACTGAAATCCATTCGGTAGCCTCAGCTATCATAGATGCACTGAATCAATTACCGATTCAAAATCCACAGAATTGATGGGTCTAATTCAAAAGGTTGAAAGACTCTACTTTTTAAAAATCTTGTTTTATATATCTTGTTTTATATATATATATAAGCTTCTCATGCTACCAATCTGCTGATGTTCACCCCAACCCAAAACAGAGAAGTTACTTTAAAAAAAAAAATAGCTTCCCAGAATTCCACACCAAGATTCTGGTATTGCAGCCCCACCCCACCCCCCAAAAAATTAAGTAACTTCTTAATCATGCAGAGGAAAAGGATAATCTGAAAACATGAAAACTCTCAAGGTCTGTGATTTTCTGGTTCCTCATACACCAGCTTCGTATCCTTCGTTAATTAGAACGTTGGTCCAAAAGTCCCATGATATTTTACTTAGGGAAATTAGAAATAATCACAATTAATTGATCACAGGATTTTTAAAATATTGCTTGGTGGCGATGCTTCCAGAACATTTGGGGAAATACCATACAAACAAGAACATCAGAAGCAAACTGCCATCAGAGAACTGTTTAATCCAAAAGTGATCCTCATTGAGTTAAACAGGATGATGCCTTCTATTTGATGCTCTATCCGTGGGGCTGACCTCTCGAAAGCAGCCCGTGTGGCCACCCTACTTTTAAAGATGTCTGCTACTGCTCTGCATCTCAGTCTCTTTATGTTTCAAATCCAGGGACGACACTCAACTCAAGAGCCCCATCAGAGCCATAAGTTTCGACCTACTGGATTCTTTCTCCCATCAGTTCATTACGGGAATTATGTTTCCATGGTGATAAAATCCCTGCACTGTCACCCTCGTACGGTGAGCAGTCTGAGAGATAAATAGCCACATCCAGATAAATTTGACACCCCCTCCTGGAACGTTGGGTTTAATTCTGTATCAACCAAACGTGGCCTTCAAGGGCTGTTGATGGACGAGACTTTAAACAGCTCTTCTCAATCAGACAGAAGAGCGGGATCGGGGCTGGTAACCATAGAGACTTCCTGTTTAGCTGGAGGAAAACACCTCTGGCCTGTCAACAAGGCTAAGTAGAAATGTTTCCACTCTGACCCGTTGCTTAGCAGAAAAACCATGAAGACCAAACCCCATTGTTCCAGCTGAAGAAGACCCAGAGAATGAAGGGGATGTATTAATGAAGTCAACAGATTTTACGGTAAGTCAACAGATAGGTAATTCCTATGGACTCAGTGGAGCTACTCTGTCAGGACTGGAATTTAACCATACAGTTGGATGCACACTAGTGGGAACTGACCCAACCCAACATCCGTCTAACCTCATGACTCCATGTCCATCCATCCAGAAGCCCTTCTGGTTTTTAGGAGGACAGTGAAGGCAGGCAAGACTTTTCTCAAGGATGTGGCAATGGACTTCCAGATCTGCCACTCTCCAGCAGGGATCCAGAAAGGGTGGTGTTCACCCTCGCCTGGGTGGCTGTGGGTCACCCACACACATCGAGGACAGTCCTCTACGTCAAGTCACCTCCAACTTATGGCAACCTTATTAGGTTCTTGAGGTCTGTGAGATGTTCAAGGAATGGCTTGCCATGGCCACTTCCCTGGGTATCCGATGGCTAGCACATGGCAGACCACAACGGCAGCTTTGTGAGGCAGCCCGCATTACCTCTGGCTGAGTCCCTGGACATTCAAAGTCTAGATGGCTGCCGATCTGCTTCCGGACAGAATTCAAAGTGCTGGTTCTAACCTATAAAGCCCTAGACAACTTTGACCCAAGCTATCTCAAGGACCACCTCTCCCTTTATGAGTCTGTATGAGTGTTAAGATCATCAGGGGAGGCCTTCCTCTCAGTCCCACCACCTCCACAGGCATGTTTGATGGGGACACAGGAGAGGGCCTTCTCTGTGGCTGCTTCTAGACTCTGGAACTCCCTGCCACTGGAGGCCAGCCTGGCCCCATCTTGGCTGTCCTTCTGCAAGCAAGCCAAGACCTTTCTCTTTAGCCAGGCTTTCCCTGAGTGATTGGCTGAGTGGTGTGTGTGTGTGTGTGTGTTTTTTTTAAAAAATAGACTGTTGTACCTTACTGCTTTGAATGTGTTTTGGTGTTGCTTATGCTTTTTATAAATATCGTGATTTGATCGTTTTTTGTATTTGTATACTCATGGTCATTAGCTTTCAATTCTGTCTTTTAATACTGCAAGCTGCCTTGTTTTGTGTGTGTGTGTGTGTGTTTTTAAGGAGCAAAGCAGGGTAAAAAATATTTTAAATAAATAAATAAAACAAACAAATAAATTTGCAGACACAACCACCTTGATGGATTTTTTTAAAATCAAAGTTGAAGAGGACTATGCTTTGATACCATTAGCCGAATAAACGCATAAGTAAACCGTATGCAAGAAGAGCTCAGCACATCCTCTGAGCATGTGCAAAGGGCTGGCCCATCTTGGTGTAGAGTCAAGCCCTACTCAGGACACCTCCCCTCCAGGAAATGCTGCAGCCATGTTGCCCCTGCTTGGAAGCTTAAGTGGGCTCGTTTTCTGCATTATTATTTTATCAGTCTCTTTTTCAGAAGATTCATGGCATGCGCTGGCATGCAAAACAGTGTCGCGTATCACCTCCAGGATCTTCTCTAGAAGGCTAAGCTTCAACAAGCCTGCAGTCGTGGTGCCAGTTTCATAAATATTCCAGAGGCGTCTGGTTAGGACATAAAACATCCAGCGTCCTTCATGGGTGGGAGAGAGTTTCGACCCCCATCCATCAATTTCCCTCACCACCACCACAGCTACGTGACCTGGTGTTCAACTGCATTTGGGAGCCCCGGGCAGTATTTTACGGGGAGGAAAGATTGTCTATTTGGGTGCACGATTCTGAATTCCAAATAAGGAAAAGGAAGCTGAAAGAATGACGCTCAAAGGATGGCTGTATTTACACCATGTTTTCATCAGGGTCTGTCAGCAAAAAGAAGGCTGATGTGATGTCACAAGGAAGAACATGGATCACTTAGTCTAGTGGTTCCCAACCTCGAGTAATTCAGGTGTTCTTGGACTGCAACTCCCAGAAGCCTTCACCACTAGCTGCGATGGTTCGGGTTTTGGGGAGTTGCAGTCCAAGAACATCTGAGTGATCCAAGATTGGGAACCCGTTCGGGCCACATGAGCTACCTGAAGGTATCTCCTGAAGGATACTCCCATCAGACATTAAATAGTGTGTTTTGTGCATTCCTGACACTTACATCTTCTTTCACTCTATAAAGCAGATGTCTATCTGACCAGAAGTGTGAAGCCAGGATATCCCCGTGCTCATGGGATCCCTGATAGTTTGGGATTCAAGTTACATTCCGGATTTAAGAGAAAACTCCACATTCTTCACCAAATCAGCCTGATTCGAGCCAATTTGTGCGTGGTTGAGATCAACGGTCAGATTTGTCTCTGGCACGAAGCAAAGCTAATTTACGTAGAGAGAGAACTGGATGAGGCAAAAATCAATTGAACTATTTTGCTTGGGGGGGAAGCAAATTTTAAAGATCCCTAGTCCACAAAGCTTTTGACACTATCTGTCCGATATGTGGCAGCTTTTCTCTCCTCTTGAGGGTCTATCACGCTTCCAAATTCCATTGAAAGTCAAAAAAAAAGGTTATACAAGTGTTGGTTTTTCAATGAAATGACTTTATCAAT